ATCGGATTAAATGGGCTCGGATCCATATTAAAATTTACTCCATCAATTTGCCAAGTAAATGGAGTGACAATTTTTCATACAACACATTAAAACGACATGAATTCAACTTACAAAAGAAAAGACTATAGTATCTCGTCATCGTCATTGTCATCGTCATCGTACCAAAAAATTATAACTTTTTAAGATATGAGTTATAACTTACAAAAGGCAAGATCAATCACAAAAGGTTGTGATTTACCATAGAAGTTCTATAGTCATGAACAAGAGTATTTTCATTCATTGTTATGCGATCATATTAGGTGGAGCTTAAGTTGTCCTTGAAAATTAATTAATTAGTTAGATTGTTAATGGTGAATAGGAGGCATCACTACCTCATTAACTACCTTTAGTAATGCATTTCATAATTAAAAGGATTAGGAGATCTAGTCCAAGAAAGAAAGAATATCACAGGTTGATCCCACCACCCCATGCTTAAATATTCAAGTACCACTCTAAAATATTAAAGTGTGTCATCCCACCCAAATTTGTCTTATGAATAGGATCAATGCAGTCCCTTGCGTGTGATTGCTTGTGGAATGATCAATACAATATAGAAACCTACAAGAATCAAGAATGGGTGAAAAATTAATTTGCTCACTTAGAATCCATCTTTTTATATCATGTTACCGCATTCTATGCAAAATTATTTACAATGACCGAAGATGTGCATTTAATCTTTATATCCAAGCTTTGATGGCTCTAATATTTTTATATGAATGCAAGCTTTCCTCCCATTCCTAGTACCAATTTCATCACAATAATGAAAAAGAAAGAAAAAACATGTAAATGGGATAACAAAGGTAGAAAATCACATGCCCTTAACAAAAATAAACTAAATGGTCCTAAAAAAAAAAGAAATTGACCATTCAAAATATGAAGATGAGGAGAATAGAAAATTGGGTTGTATAGTAGTATAAGGTTGGTAGGCCAATGACATCCTAGTTGGTCCCTACGGGATCACATTCACAGGGTGAATGTGACCCTCTGCTAACCCCTACCCCTAGTGACAAACCCATCAAGAGACATGTGCTTCCAAACTCTTCTTTGTAAGCTTCTGTTTGTGATTATTAAATATAATTACTCTCTTTGATTGGAACTGAGGGCAAATGATTCTAATTATATATATTGAAAAAGTGGTATGGAGATACTGAGATATTACTTATGGGGGTGGCAATGGTGCCCTCATCAATCCAGTGCCCAAACAAGCAAAAACCATGGGTTGTTTTTCTGGAGAATCATTTGTAAGCATTGAGTGCAAGATATAAATGGAATTTGAGAATTTCATTGCAGGAAAAAAAACATAAATGTTCACTTAATTGTGGGTCAAGCTACCTCACCAATTTGATGTCCATGCCTTGCTTGTTATCAGCTAGTTTTGGCTCTCAAAAACTACAATATATTGGAGGGAATCACATCACACTATACTTCTTCTCTCGCAAAATTTATTTTAATTTCTTATAGTTTGGTATGAAGCACTTTAATGTTAGATAATTCAAGTTTGATACAACGACGGGGTATGAGTTTCTTGAGTTTTTGTAACTGTCCATACAGGATACATCTTGATACAGATTCACCTTGCAAATCGACAAAAACTTTTTTCATCATAGAGCAATGGATCTAGTGCTAGCTACAAAGTCTTGCCATTTGGGCTACAAAACTCGAATAAGTGTGCCTTTTGGATTTGTTTAAGAAAATTCTAGGTGTTCATGTTAATAAGGAGAGGGATTGGCATTGAGGCTAACCTTGTGAAGATGAAGGAATTTATGAGCATAAAGTCTCCTCCGAATCTCAATGAGGTGCTAAGTTTGGGAGGAAGGATTGCAGCTTTGAATAGACTGATGTCCTGCGAACAATGGAAAAATGCCAACCCCAACTCAAAATAATTTTTAGAAAAAAAGCATTTGAGGCACAGTGAAGAGTGTAAAGGAAAATAATTCTCCTTAATCAAGATGTATGTAATTCTAGTTTTATGGACGTTTTAATCTTATTTTTAGCTTCATATAAGAGATAACTTACAAGAGTAGCTTAGAGTTTTTTAGTGGACATCATAATATTTTTGAAGTTCAATTTAGTATGTCTTATACGGATCATCAAAATCAGTTTTTGACCTCAATTTGAAGCATAGAAGTTCAATAAAATGAAATGAAACTTAACGATCCCAAGGAAATTTGGCAACTGAAACGCGTTTATTATCAAATTCTTCATTAAGAAAATGACATTTAATAATAGCATATTATAAATACAAATATTATATTATGTTATATTTGGATGTCAGTAGTAGTAGTAGTAGTACATCAAGAGAAGTGCCTTTTATTAAAGTGGAGGGTGCAATTAAACATCAATCCAAGAAAGTAACCTTGAGATATTAAAGAAACCAAAGGATTAGATATAAGACTCTTTCTAATCATACAAAAGAAAGACCATCACCAAAAGATTAAGGACAAAAACAACCTTAATTATATAGATAAACGACAACTCTGCCTATTCAATACCACAACATGTAGCAAAAACAAGGGTAGTCTACTCTCACACTCAAAATCACAAATCCCTCTACCTTGTTTTCCTCTCTCTCTCCAGGGAAAGATGAGATTAAGATATAACCCTCCATTCCTCGAAACGACCGTCCTTAAAAACTTGGTTACATCAAACAACTCCGTTAAGTTACACATGTCCAAAAATCTTCAACACAACACACTATATGGCCGTCAAATATTTGTTTCTTGCTCTGTCTCCCATTTACGTCAACTTCGACACCGTTCCTAATGGCGATGACACCAACAAAGCCCCTAGATTCCCTCATTGTACTCGGCAAGAAATCCTCGTGCTAATACAAGGCAAGAGAGTAGGCAAAAGCCAATTCGTATGGGACAGACTGTCAATCAAGCATTCGAGTCTGGTCAGGTAGAACCCAAGAGGGCCTTAGTTTCTTCGTACTGTAGAAGACATGGGATAAACCAGAAACCGATTTAGTTCTATAAAAGATGAAACAATTTAGCCAGAGATTATAAGAAGATAAAAAGAGTGAAAGTTATAGATAAGGGAAGACACGAAATCTTTTTCAGAGTTAAGGAATGATTTGAGGAGAGAGACCAAATTTATTGAAATTTAATCCAAACATAATAATTTTTAATACGATATTAAATTTTTTTTTGTTAATATCAAAAAATTACCATTAATTAAATATAGATCATATTATATGATATCATTGATTAGTATCCGGGTTAAGCAGTTCAAACTTAGACTGGATTAAAATTAAAATTTTTGTACTTTGAATTAAACTTAAGCTAAATGTCAGACCCGTCCGAGTTGCACCGCTGAGCACAAATATCTTTAAGTGTTTGTGTGTACAATTCTTAAAGAAGCTTAAGTAGGGCTTTAAGTAGAAAGTTAGTTACACAACCGTTGCCATTAATAACAAAAAAAATTCACATAAAAGGTTTTTAAAATAGAGATACTATTTTTAGAAGGTGGAAAGACCCAATATCTGCAGAATTGTCAGCTAAAGCCTGTGATCACATGATTACTGATATCTCGCTCCTACAGGCAACAAACTCTCACATTCAAAGCGAAATGAGTCGTTGGATTCACGCTGTGAAACTGAGCGTGGGGTTGGTGATTTCTCAGGAGCCATTTTGGTGTTGCAGGTACCAAAGACCAGTCACATTCCACGTCATCAGCCTGACATGTCAGATATAAGACGTCCCATTGACTGCCGCGTGTAATGTGGACCCCACCGACCCATGTGATTCGGGACGTAACTCTAACGGGCCAGGCAAAGCCTCCCCCCCCCCGCCCCTCCATCCTTCACGGGCCCAAAACCCCAAAAACGCTTGACCCCTCTCAAATTTTTTACCCACATATCACCTTTTCATAATTTTTTATCAAAATATCTTGATTTTAAATTTATTTATTAAATTATTATTCTTTTCTTAAAAACCCATTTTCAAAATATATTTTTAAATGTAAAATCAATATTTAAAAATACACCCTTTAAAAAATTAAAAATTTGGGAATCAAATTAATTAAGAACCTAATTTAATATAATCATTAAATTAGCAATGAAAAATAAATTTATGAAAAATAAATTCTCATGATCTTACCCTTAAAAAATTGTTAAATTTCAAATTCAAGACGTTTTTATTTTTTAACTCATTCTTTGGGGTTATTAATTGTGAGTTTCAATACTAAATAGAACACACCTTCAATTCAATAATTTTAATTGATTGGGTCTCAAATTAAGTGCATATAGTATTTTTCAAAAAAATAAAATAAAAGTGAGTTATCAAAATATGTTGGGAAACAGAGTGTGTTTTCAATACACACATTCCTCAAAAAAAAATGATAGTTAGATATATAATTTGGATAAATAAATTTAAGAAAACGTTATAAGAAAAATTAACATCTCTCTCTCTCTCTCTCTCTCTCTCTCTCTCTCTCTCTCTCTTCAGCCTTCGGACATGCCCACGTGGCTAGTCATGTCAGTATGGGCCCACTACCCACGGCGTCTGGTTATGGTTACATCCATGGCTCTCTGTCCCAGTTGCTTCTCTCTTTCTCTCTCCCCTATCTTCTCTCTCTCATTCATGCCCTCCAGTTTTGTCAGATTCCGGCAGTCATTGTCAGACTTTCCGGTGGCTTTTACATTTATATATAGCCCACCCTTCTCCTTTCTAGTCTTACATTTTTTCTTCTCTCTCTCTCCCTCCCTCTTACTTCTCTCTCTCTCTGAACACAGATTGGCCACCACTGCTCGTCAAAAAAACAGAACTAGAGAAACGTACATTGAAAGAACGACAGAAAGCAGAAAGTTGGGCATGAAAGCACACAAAAGCTACCTAATCCATTCAATACATAAAGCCATTATGACTTTCCGCAAAGCGCGCAGCGTATGAAAGCAACACACCCGTACCCTTTTTGTAACCTCTCTCTCTCTCTCTCTCTCGGTGATGAATAGAGCTTTAATGGAGATGCTACACTGTCTGAATATTCCGGCGAACGTCAGCGGGAATGGTGGTCCGGACATGACTGTGCTCGAGAGGCAACGGGGTCGCATGAAGTGGCAGCAAGAAGAACAACATCAACAGGCTTTGCTACAGCAGCAACAACAGAGTTTGTTCGATGGAAATGAGGTTAATCTGTTCTCTATGCAAGCTCAAGCTCAACAATTTCAGGAAATGATGAATAACGAACCGAGTCTTGGTGAGTTGGTGACTCGGGCGATGAAACCGGATCCGGGTATGGAAAATGGGTGGCCAGATTTTGGGACCATTGGTGAGGCTACTGGGTTGGGTATTGGGTCATGTGGGTTTGAAACCGGGCTTGATATGAATTATGCTATTTCAAGGACTACTAGCTGCCCACCGGCTGTGGCGGCGGACGTGGCGGTTGCCGATGCTGAAGGGACAGAATCTATTTTGCCAGAGAAGCCAAGCTCTATGGTGGGGAGAGAGAGCTTCAAGAAGAGGAAAGCTGATAAGAAGACCCATCAGTGTAGCGTGTGTGTGTTGCTATGAATTAATCAAAGATCTTCAAGTTCTTGGCAAATCATAAAAAGAGCTATGTAAATTCAACTAATTGTTCAGTAGGAAAGTTTTGCTAACGAAAATTATTTTGGGATTTATTCAGGCGATTTCAGAGGATGATAGCAAAGAAAAGAGGATCAAGGGATGCGCGGAAGAAGGTGATTCCAAGATCACAGAGCTAAAAAGCAACAGCTCCAAGAACACCACCAACAACAATGGAGGAACTTCTGGTGACACTTCTAAGGAGAATTCCAAGGTTTCCGATGTTCAAAAACCCGACTACATTCACGTCCGAGCACGTCGTGGCCAAGCTACTGACAGCCACAGCTTAGCAGAAAGAGTACGCGGGACTTCGTTTTTGTTTCCAATTTTTCTTCCCAGTAGGCATTGCAATCACTTGATGATTAGTTCACTTAATCTTTGGGATATATGCAGGTGAGGAGGGAAAAAATCAGTGAGAGAATGAAATACCTGCAAAATTTAGTACCAGGGTGCAATAAGATCACAGGAAAAGCCGGAATGCTTGACGAAATTATCAACTATGTCCAATCCCTGCAACGACAAGTAGAGGTAACATACTTACAGAATTATCTATACTCCTAAGTATTATACTTGTAGTCTTCGCAATTGTTCATGTGGGTGTGGGTGTGTTCAAAACCTCAAATTCTTAAATGGATTTTTCTAAATTCTGCAACAGTTCTTATCAATGAAACTAGCTGCTGTTAATCCGAGGCTTGAGTTCAACATCAACAATTTATTCGCCAAAGAGGTATCGAAGAAATCACAATGTAGCAATATAGAGTAAAGACAAGTAAACAGCAAAAAAAAGTAAAGACAAGCAATGCTGATAATTTTCTTATGCTACTCTGTCTCTTTTACTTTTACATCACCAGATGTTTCCAGCTTGCACATCCAATTTTCCGGCAATTGGACTATCATCCGAAATGGCTAATCCTGCCTACCTTCAGTTCAATCCATTACAACAAGCAGTTTCATCCGGGTTGGAAATGGGGATAAATCCTTCTGATGTGGCACTTCGAAGAACAATCAGTGCTCCTCTATCGATCCCTGAAACATTCATCGACTCATCCTGTTTCAATGTAATTTCCTCAACTCGTTAGTATTTTTACTTCTATAGTCTCTTTCTGTTCGATTTTCTAACGAAATTAACATTTTGCTGCAGCAAATCCAGTCTTTTTCAACTTGGGATGCCGAGTTACAGAACCTTTACGGCATAGAGTTACAAGGAAGATCAACTCCATTTCCATCTCAGCCATTTACAGGTATATATTTGGTTAAATTATTGGTCGAAGCTTGAAAGATGTGATAAATACTAAGAATTATCGTGTCCGAAACATGTAGTACCATGTCTTGTCTATCTTGTAATACTGTTTTTGCAAGTTTCACAAGGTAAAAGCAAAGGGAATAATACTACTTTTGATGGGAACCATAAAGAAAGACACAAATCCTAATAATTATCAGCTTTGATTTGTACCAAGAAAGTTGCGTAATAGGTACCTTTCTTCTTCTGTCTTCCACCTAAAATAATCAAAACCATAATACTTGCCAATGACCACAAATTCCCAATCCATCGTCCAAAAAGAAAAAGCAACTAAAGGGATGGTGTGTTTTTGGCTCCTTGTAGGCACATACTGGCCATCAAATACCAAAGTCACTAATAAACAGTGCACATGCATTATCAGGACAAGATAAATCGCAATGGGTTCCATCAAAATAATTCATCCTATTCTATGGTTCTCATGATCTGATGCCCAGTGATCATTGATCATAAAAGTAAAAGTAGCAGCCACCGGAATCTAGGCGCTCATCTCTCCCTCCATACTCCCCTATCCCCTTCCTATTTCGATTTCATTCATTTACCCCACACCATATGTAGAATAATCACATCTGAAAATAACAATATTGTTTTTTGCAGGTTCCATTGAAGCAGGCAATCCGAAAATGGAGATGTGAATCAGACCATTAATCATTCAAGTTCATGAACAATTTAATCTAAATGTCTTTGATCCTGATTCTTTGTTCCCTCTGCAAGTGCAGTGTATATATTTCCAATTTTCCATGTATACCAGCATCATAGAAATAGTAATAATAATAATAGTATGTTACCTATTGACCACATCCTTGTCTTGTGTGTATGCTATAATTTGGATGATAAGATTAATCTACACCAAAAATAACCAAAAGATTGTAATAAAGGTGTGACCAACAAACTTAAGTGCTAGTGAAACCAAGAATAATACCTTCAAACCGGAAGAAAATGAAATGCAGTAAGAATCTGGTTGAATCATCTGCAATTAGTTTGAATCTGGATATTTAAGCAATTCTAGTGAAAACTAATCACGACTTAGTTTTCGCCAAATCTACAATATGCACAGCCATTAATAAGACTAAACAATCCGAGATATGATACTGCAGCAAGATATGAATCCATGTCATAAATTTATCAGATGAGTATTAACTGAATGAACCAATAAAAGCAGTAAGTCTCATATCCTTCAAGTGACAAGATTAATCTGTTGCGTGAAACCTGAGGGACAGTTCTAAGCACTACCCTGAAAAACAGACGACGTGAACCAACGAATGAACCTTACCGGTTGCTTTTTGGGACAGAATGAGACATGCTGATCGAGACGCAGATAATTAGACATTAAAAGAGCCATGTAGTAAGATAAGTGATGGTGAAAGTGTTGGACCAAAAGCTCTCTCTCTCTCTCTCTCTCTCTCTCTCTCTCTATATATATATATATATATATATATATATACACACACACACATCTGTGGGGAGGGAAGACAAACAAGCCCAATCCTTCCCCCATACAATTAGTTAGGATGGTATACATGTCCCCAGCGAGTTTATGCTGCCTGACAATATCATTACATCTTGATGATGATTTTTTTTCTTTCTTGGATTGTTGATGATCAGTTTCTTCAACTGGGTTGATTTCCTAATTTCTCTTATGTAAAACACACTATAAGTACAGTACTGCCTAATCATGTGATAGGACGTGTTTAAGTCAACAACAAATGATGAAATTCAAAGAAACAAAACATTAGTAAAAGCTAAGACAGGATACTCTTGACTACAGTAGTAATTAAAAAATCCAAACCCAACAACAATTTACTTGTTATGACAGTCATAACCGACATTCAGAAAAAAAAATGTAGATTTTGTTCCTTACGTGCAACAATTCAGATTTGCAAATATGATGATGCAAAGAGAATTGATAACAGGATTATGGCTGTCATAAATATATAATCGATCAATGTTTATAAATCAATTGAGAACTTTTATTGAAATATGTAGACAAACTTTATAAAATCAAACTTAATGCAAATTTCACTTAATAATTGCTATAGATCAAAATTCCCTGCAAGCAAGAAATCACATTGAAAAGTTATCATGTTACAAAGGAAATCCATTTGCATAGAAGCTGAACATTCATTTTTCCTAGTCCTACATTACGTTTCCAGGGAAAAATTGTATAAAAGTTGTTCAATTAGGTGATAGGAAAAAATCTAGTTTGACTGCATGGTGTTTGACTATAAAGGGGGAACTGTTTATTACAAGTTATTCTTTAAGCCAACTGAATAATAACATGTTCCAATTGTAAAACTGCATGTACAGGTACAATTGAAATACATCTAAAAAAATTGAAATCTCGTAGAAACAGAAAATTGTCTCGGTTGTACAAGAAATCACTGCATTCTTTTTGCAAGTTTTTTTTTTTTTGGTAATGGAGAGCCACTCCTTATACAGTCATACTCATGGCTGCAAAGCAAACCTCAAATGCACGTCATCCCCCTGTTCTTATGTACAAGATAATTGTTTTTTCCTTGCCACTTCATCCTTTCCCCCATTTATCCCCTCTTCTGTTTTTTTCTCTCCTAAGTCCAAAGAAACAAGAGCTACCTCTTTCTGATATTATCAGAGCAGAGCTACAGGATCATAACAAAAATGATCTATTCAAGATTGCATTAAATGTACAAATTTTATGTGCAACCACTACCATACACATCATACACACCTATTCTTCTATTCATATCTTAATTCCACAGAAAGGCACTTTTCGGTGCTGGGCTGCACCCATTAGTGGGGTCCACAAAAATTGCCTGTGCCTTTCACTTCATCTTCTTGTTTTGGGACCTCAAGAGCCTTAGCTTTCCTTCATTTTCAAGCCATATGTAACAGGAAATTGTGGACCTGGCCGCATCCTCACACAAGATCTCTTTGATTCTCTTTGCCTATGGTAAGACACCATTTCACCACTTCTCTTTCATGGGCCCACTCATTTGGTGCAACATTCTCCCCCATCCAAGGATCAAAATTTCATTTCGGCACATATTTTTGTTCAATTTCAAAACAGAAACGTCTGGAAAATGATTTGGAAACAATCCGGAAACATGGTGAAACAAACAAAAAATTTAAAAATTTATTTGTGAAACATTTTGAAACACCCCATAATATAGTAGTTTCAATAGTCAGTCACGGACTCATTTCAGTTTACATAGAAAAGGTAACGTTAGTTCCTTAGCTTCGTACCCTAACATTTCCCTTCTCAGGTTTTGACACAGTGCAGCTCCAAGGAACTGAAGTTCAAACCCAAAAAGATTCTCTTGGCAATGTGTGAATACTAGAAAAGATATCAATCCGATACTTTTTAGGACCTATGTGGTTTCAATCCTCAAGCTTGTTTCTTCTCCTCAGCTCTCAAGTTTTCGCCTGTTACCTCTTATGAGAATCCTAACAAATTCCCAAGCAGAACCACAGAATAACATTATTGTCTCATAGGAAAATTAAAATGTATATTATAGCCAGCCATTCAATTCTTTTTCGTTCAAATGTCAAGTAGAGATAAGGTTTTGATGCTTTCTCTTTTACAGAGAATAAGAATAATATTTTTTCCCACCCACATTTAGATTTGTTCAGTCCACTGGACCACCATTCTACAATTTCTTCAGAAAATAAGGTTTAAGACTTCCAGTAGTACAACATAAGACTAAAATACATACTATCAACTTCTAGGTTGGAATCATTAGAGAGTTTTTCTAAGCAGGCTGAGCCCTACCCGACTTCCCTACATAGGTTCAGGCAATACCAGGCTCTGTTTCAACCAAAACCGTAGGTAGGATAGACTGAAGCAAATATTGTTCCGACACACTAAATGATAATATGAACTAGTTCTTTTTCCACACACCTATTTGGCTAATCAGAATAAACATTTACCTCCATCACAAAATAACTTTGCCAACCGAGCCGACTCCTGAAGTACTAGATGAAAGGCCTAACAGCGTAGACTATAAAGACCTAATTATGTGCCAAATTAGCATTTTGGTTCTTTTTGTCATTCTGTCGTAAAGCCAGAGCTGCAAAATTATTATACTGTTAGTTAAAGGATTCACCTAAAAGCCAGATGTGATGAAGTAGTTAAATTAGGAGAAAGACCTACAAGGTCATATATCTACAAAAATCCAAGTCATGGTGGTATGGTAGGAAGAAAGGAAGATTTCTCAGCTACAGAGATAGATGAGTTTACACTATCAGGCAAAGCGTGCCTTGAACCAGTAGAATGAGGTGTATAATTCATGGAATATAATCTTTTGTATTAAAGTCATTAGAACATAGAACAAAAAGCATGGGTAGATATCAAGAAGTAATTGAAGGAAGTATCAAGGCTAGAACCATTTCATGACTGCAACTTATCATATATCAATTTATATAAGAGAACTTTTAATAGCAATTCTTTCTTTGGTTTCACCTAAGTTAGAGGCCGAATATACTTATTCTGTAAAAAAGCCACACTTGACTTTGTTCAAACTATGACTATACAGAGACCACAACTGGTAACTTGAAGTAAGGATTTGGATAACATGGCTGGCTTAAAAAATTGGAACTTCAACCACACTACAAAAAAAAAAAAAATTACATATGAAACACTTATCTACACAAAATGGGAAAAAAATAGTTTACATCTGAGTAACAGAACATTTTCAACGTGCACTCACCCTGTCAAACAGAAAACCTGTCTTCACCACAAAGTACGTACAATTAATTACATCCAGAAAAGATTTCATTGAGAGACTAAGTTTCTTATCTTTGTGGGTTCCACTAGTAATGAGATCCAACAAATCTTTCATGGCAAGTTCCACTAGATCACCGACTCTTCTCCAGCCTCTGCAGTCCCGTACATCATTAACTTTGGAAAGTTACACATCACTGGAAGGAAAATTGAGAATTAAAATAGTTTTGACATATTACCTTCCCCAGGAACAATAGTAATGGGTGCTGTTTTGCAATTGTGGAAGCAATACTCACTAACACTTCCCTGCAGCACACTGAAAAAACCAACCCAAACTCATGTCTCTCAAAGATATATACACAAAGACACACATACAAACAAAGGGGGAGAGAGAGACCTTTGAATTAAGCTCCGACCTCTTGTACCCAAGACTACAGCTGCAGGCTTTAACCTTTCTGCTTCCCTGCAAATTGCCTTACCTGCATCTCCTTCCACAATCCGTGCCATTGTTTTTACCTATTTAATATAGATTCCCGAAAAATTGTTAACTAAGGGTCTCGTTTATACTAGCAGGGTTGAAATTCCATTTACGCTATTTAATTTATATTAGTGCTTCTATCCACTGGGTTGGTATAGATTCGTCCAATTATATTGCGCATCTAGATTAGTGGAATTGATTGGATTATTTTACAGACTTATACAATTCCTTACAGCATCGAATTATTTTTGCTAGGCCTCATTTTGTCTAATAAGGGAAGAAGCATATGGTTGACAGTTTATGTCAGTAGACTTTCTACTCACCACCTTTAAGTAACTTTTGATGGTGCTTAGATTTCACAAAAACCAATCATGGATAGCATGCTCCTGCTATGCCTCCTACGCTGAAACCTCTTGTAAATTTGAGATTAACATATACCCCATCGATATAGTTCTACAAAATATAACTGTTGCATTTCAAAATCTTGACGTATTGATTGGCAATCTCTGGATATCTGGTTGACTAAAAATTTGGTAAGCATGATAGACATGGAAGGAGTATGCAATCGAGATGGGCCTCCAAAAATTAATCCACCAAAAATATTGATGGGTAATTAAAAAAACCTTACACCAACATAAATCAATTCCTCCTCTCAATTTCAAATAAAAAAAGCACAATAACCAAACTATTTTTGAAAGTTCCACAGCTAAATCACTTAGTTTGATTTGACATAATTAGTTATGGTAGATAAAGGAAGCCTAGGTGCATGTGGGATCGTTAATATCTGAATCGAACTTTTGTGAATGATATCAGGTCACCCCTATCCCTATTTGCAAAGTACATCTAAATTTCCAACCTCTATTTATTTACATACCGAACTAACCGAATGATAGTTGGTCACATGTGCTTCAGTAAGGATATCCAAATTCTGCTACCCCTTTTTTTGAGTTTTTCTTTTTTCTAATTTTGTGTTGGAACCTTCCACATCGAAGGATATTTCCATCATTATTTGCTGGGTTACCATGCAAGAAGCCAACTAATTTGTAGTTGCAACCCATAAACAAAACCAAATGCCCCATTAAAGTCACATATAGAGTTGAATTATTTAAGTACCAGGTGAGATCCTATCCAATACATTATCTTTCCATTTCCTTTCTCAACCTGCAGAGAGTACAAGTGGGACCTAACCTATGTCCCACTTGGAGGGTAACCAAATAAAAGATAAGAAAAAAATATTGGAGGGTAACCAGATAAAAGATGAGTGTCACACTAAGGAAATTGTACAGATGTATGCATGTAGTCTGGGAACACCTTGGGGTGAACGCCTATCCGAACAAGTAGGGTCAATAGTTTAGCATTTAGGGCATAATATTTAGCAACAAAAATAATTGATGTTGATATGTATATAACTAACCTTTCCCAGACCCCGCAATGGCGGGAGCTAGGCCGTTTTTTATTTAGCAACAAAAAAGTGGTGAATTAGGTTAATTAAAGGAGAATAATAATGGATATGGTTTTACACGTATGTGCATCATTGATTATGCCACCAAACATCAGCACATCATACAATGATCCAAAAGAATAAGAAATCTAAAACCCAATTTTATAATTTTCGATAAATATCAAAGAAATACAGATACAAAAAAAAAAAAAAAAGAGAAAAAATAGATCAACAATCACAATCACTCACCATAGCAACTTGTAAAGCCTCCACGGCAAGCTTCTCCATAAGACCCTGTGTCGCCTCGTACACAATCTCATTCTTCACACCTAATCCAAATTAAACAATTGAATTGAAGTTAAGATACAATTTGCAGTTAAATAGACATAAGTATACACACACACAAGCACATATTTATAGAGAAAAAGAGCTGTACTGGACACGGCATGGACGAGATGGATGGTATCGGCGAGACGGCAGAGATGGGTGAGGGCCCAATCAAAGGCGTGTTTGCTGTTGGGGCCATGATCGACGGCGATGAGTATGTTACGGCCTCTTCTTCTCTCCCCGGTCTCTCTCTCCAGTTCAGGCTCATGTGCCACGGCCACCGGTATCAGCGAGGGCAGTATCACTTCCCTACAATTGTACTCTTCTTCCTCCATTACCGTTTCCATCCTCTCTCTCTCTCTCTCTCTCTCTCTCTCTCTCTCTCTCCTGATATTCGGTTTGATTGCCTTGGATTCAATGACTTTCTTGTGAATATGAGGTTTTAGGTGGAGTGGAGATGGGCCCGTTTTCAAGACAGCCGCCACTGAACAGTGGCGTGTTTGATTCGTGTACGTATGCGGATTAGGAAATAGGAATTTGGAATTGAGAAATACCAGCCCTGTCAAGTGAAATCTTTCGTTGGGGGAGACGCTGTTATATTTCATCAAATTGTTTATCAAAATTTATATATTAAATCAGTTTACGTGGTTTGATTAATTAATTCTACTCATTCTACAAAATATTTAGAGTAAATTAGATATATCATCTTCAAATTATAATCTATTAAATTCCAATTCAAATTTCAAAATATAAACAAAATGACTGTTATTATTCGCGGTTAAGATCGTTTTAAATTTTATTTTAAAGTCAATCTAATAACTAATATTTGTTAGAATATTAATAATAAGGGTAATTAGGCATTTTCTTTATGTTGTGTTGTCCTACTATATAAGGGTTATTTTGTGTATTTTTAAGTTTAAGATGTTCATTACAGACTTGCTTTTAATCTAATAATATAGTCATTTTTTCTCTTCTTCGTTATGTATTAAATCTATTATGGTATCTGAGCAATTATATTTTAAAATGCCTAAACTATACTTATTATTAATACTATAACAATCTTAACACCCTAAATTTAATAAGAAAAATAGGGTCATAAACTTGTGTTTATAGTGACTTTTTAAAAGCATTTTTAGAAATTATTTCTCATAAATACTTAAAAAAAAAATAGTATTTGAAATTGTCCCACCACTATCTCTGCCGCCGCCGCCACCATCACCACTCGCCGCCGTCACCACCACTCACACTACTTCCACTGCCACCGCTGTCGACACCGCCGCCCTCCAACCACCATCGTCACACTCGCCACCTCTGTTATCGCCACCACCACCACTACCACGTTCATTGTCACCCACCACAACCATCACCATCTCCTACCATTACCACTGTCGTCCACCTCTTCTCACCCCCCACTACAACTGACACTTAAATTCATTTATCTCTCTTTTATATTTGTGATTTAATTTTAGATATGAATACAAATATATTTATTGTTTACTATTTTTATTACTTTGTACCTTTAGGCACATGCAATAACTAGTTCTTATATAAATTAAGTCATTAATTTTAATTTTTTTTATTTCAAAAAAATCACTAAACTCTCTAATTATATTAATTTAATTTTTTTTAAAAAATAACAAAATATGTCATTCACGTGACAAATAGTGTATAGAACAATACATTTGTCTTGCCAAATAACAAAATCCCTACCAATGGTTATTAATTCTTATCTACAATCTTTGGTTACTCTTAGTCTTCTTTTTGGGTATGTCATCTTTTTCAAATCAAATCAGTCAAGCCATAAAGTAGGATTAATAATCATGTATTTTTGATAAAACCAACAAAATTTCTACATATGCCGCATTTTGGTCACATGGCTTTTTTATTAGATAATTATGAGAAATAAGATGGAAATTTTGAATTAAAATTTTAAGAATTTAATTATTTTAATTGAAATTTCACCCTTAGTCAAATGGTGTAAATTTTAAAACATCCAAAAATTTGTATTACACTGAAATGCAAAATCTTAGAACTTTAATAAAGTCTCGTTAACCTCTCACACGTGATATTATTTAATTTAAAATATGATTAATTATAGTAGAGGTTCTCAAAATATGAGGTTTATCTTATTTTGGTCCCTAATATTTTAATTGTATCATTTTAATTCTTGAAATATTGAATATGTTTTTATATGATCCTTCAAGCAGACAATATCCAGATTGCTAACGACTTTTTATCATTAAATTATCACGTAATACCTAAATGTGAAAAAATAATAATTTTGATAGGTTTAAAACAAAATTTTGATAGCTCTTGATAAAAAAAATTGTGTAATATCGGTAACTTTTGACCAAATTTTGAATATCTCACGATTAAAATTGTGTAATTTATATAGTTATTTAATTAAAATTTGAGTAAAAATTTGATCAAAAGTTATCCAAATTATTTTTTTGTCTATATTTAAGTATTACGTAACAAATTTATGATAAAAAAATTGTTAGTAATTTAGACATTATCTACTTGATGGACCATATAAAAACATATTCAATATTTCAGATACTAAAATGATGCAATTAAAAAATTAAGGATCAAAATGAGACAAAATTCTATATTTTAGGGACTTCAAATGCAATTAATTCTTTTAAAATAACTAAAATTTTCAAATTGACGTTGTAATTTTGAGTTTAAAACTTGATAATTTTATTGCATTCTCTCAATTCTCTAATTCATATGATGGTTGCAACTTGCAAAGGAAGGATGTTTAAGATTTTTTTTTTTATTAGAAGGTGCTTAAGAATTCATATATATGCATCTAGTCTTATTTTTAATTAATATAGGATTGTAACATTTCATCACACTTCTGTAACTATCGTTCACAACAGTTCATTTTATCGACGCTAATCTAATGATAATGTTTTTTTCTTTGACGACTCTACTCACCTATCAATATTTAATGAAATAACACTATATTACTACATAATACCATTTCATCTTTAATTTTAGTCCATAGGTCACCCTCCTATAACTTGACCATAGGGAGAGTCATTGCATTCCATTCTATACTCAACATGGTAGTTAACTCTGATACTAATTATTATAAATTAGGAATAATTTGTATTTGAATGTATGATATAATATGAATGATTTTAAGATAATATTTATTTAAGACCCATAAATTTTATTTAAAGCCGATGGATGTATTTGAAGCCTGCATTTTTTATATTATAGATTGGGTTAATTGCACCGGAAAGTCTCCATACTTTTGGGTTTATCTCATTTTGATCCTCAATGTTTCAATTGCATCATTTTGGTCATTGACGTATTGAATATGTTTCTATATGGTCATTTAAGCAAATAACGTTTAAATTGCTAACGATTTTTTATCATAAACTTATCACATAATACCTAAATATGAACAAAAAAAATTTGACAGATCTTAAACAAAATTTAGGTAGTCATTGACAAAAAATGTGTAATATGGGTAACTTTTGATCAAAATTTGGATAACTTGTGATCAAAACTGTATAATTTGGGTTGCTATTTAACCAAAATATGAGTAGAAATTTAGTCAAGAATTATCCAAATTAATTTTTTGTTCATATTTAAGTATCATGTGGCACATTTATAGTAAAAAATCGGTAACAATCTGGACAATGTTTGCTTGAGGAACTATATAGAAACATATTAATATTTCATGGACAAAAATGATGCAATTGAAATATTAAGGACAAAAATGAGACAAACCTTATACTTTGAGTACCTCCAATATAATTAACCCTTATAGATTCACCGGTTGAACCTACCCTCAAAATCGAATGAAATAGTGTCGAAGAGTAGGGGTGTTCACTCTACCCTACGGGTAAGAAATATTTTTTTCGTCTTCCTACCTGATACATTGTTGAATAATTTTTTCTTGACTTACCCTACCCAATCAACTGTGGTATTCCTACCCAACTTCCTACCCGAATAATCAGGTAAACACTTTTGTAGCTATTAATTTTTAGATTATTTTAACAATTCAATTAAATAACATGTATCAATTTAATAACACAATAAATCAATAACACTAAAACCATAAACAACTACAACAACAATTACAATAAAACATAAGAAAGTTGAACATCAATCCATCATAATTGTTACACAAATACAAACAATTATTTTAAGTTTAAACCATATCAAACACATTAAAATCATAACTGCTCCAATAGTTAACTACAAATCATGTAACCTACACAAAAAATAAGTCCATATTTTCACAACAATAACATTATTATAATATAAATTATATCACACAAATACTCTTATAATTATTAAAAAAAATATAAAAAAATAAAATATATTTTTTGAAGATAAAGCAGGATAGGAATGCGAAAATTGATGAGTATTCAACATTCCTACTCGATTTAATCGGAAGAGCAAAAATTCTTCTGTATTCATGCCCAATTTTTTGCTGTTAGCCATTCAGTTGGATCGGAATATAAAATGGGTCGGGTCGGATAAAGAATTGCTGTGAATCGGAAATTTAAAACGGGTCGGGTCTGATAAGGAATTGCGGTGAATCAGAAATTTGAACACTCTACCGAAGAGTTTGTATACCTACGTCTGGACAAAATTGAAGAAACAATGGCGATGAAGAGCAGGATACTGATAGTAGGAGTGACGGGAAATCTAGGGTTTGAACTCGCCAGAGCCAGTCTCGATTCGTCGTACCCCACATTTGGCCTTGTCAGAGACTCAGCTTTCTCTGACCCAAACAAATCCAAAAAGCTTGAAATTCTCTCCCATGGCGGTGCCACTTTTCTCAAAGTCCTCAACTATCTCAATCTAGATCTATTATCTCTCTAACTATCCTTAGAAATACTCAATTGTTCTTTGATGTTTGAGTTTTTAGGGTTCATTGCAAGATGAGGCGAGGCTTGTTGAAGCAATCAAGCAAGTCGACGTTGTGATTTGCGCCGTCAATTCAAAGCAGGTCCTCGACCAGAGGCTTCTCATTGCAGCCATTAAATGCGCTGGTTGCGTTAAGGTTATCCTTTTTCTCAGATTCTAACACTCCGCTCAGTATTGTACTATCAGTATAACAATTAAACCTTCACCTAATTACTTGCAATAATTTTAGCATGATTTTGTATGTTTTCATCTAATATAGTTGTTCATATATGATTATGGCTACCTTTCAGCACGAATTTCGCAATCTTTAAAGCTGTAATAGGGGCAGGGGATCCATTTCTTGAAATTATAATTGGAGAAAATTGTTGAGCTAGACTGGGTCGAATGCAGCTAAACTGTTCCCCTCTTAAGGACATGGGTTGCACCTTTAATCATGGTCTGATGAAATTTTTGGTAGATTGTATACTTTATTTTTCAGAGGTAAAATGTATATACTCACTGCTATGTGGTAGGTCTTTCAGTAGTAGTTTAATTGAAGTTTACAAGAAATCTTTGAGGCATATGAAGTTTGTATAAGCAAGACATGTAGAGGTGTCCAATATTATGTGAATTTAATTGTTCTTGTTTACAGTGTTCTTTCCCACCGAAAAAATGTCAGTGTGTCTTCTACAAGATGTACAATGTTGCATTTGTCAAAACACTCAGGTAGGCACGGAATGCGCTAAATCAAGATAGGCCACCTTAGATACATGTTTTTACTGTTCCCATTTAGTATAGTTACAATCCTTGTATCTCAATTAGTACACAGAAAAAAAAACCACTCAGATAGGAACGTATGGTCTGAGTTCGAAGATTAATGATGAAGACACAAAAAAATTGGTGGTCAATAAAATGTCTAAGCTAGCTCTACCCCCAAATTTTTTCTTCCTCATGGTTGGGAGTTGAGACCTAGTTGATATGAGGTTTCAAGAGTAAATTCATAGTGTCCTAATCTCTAGATTCGACTCCTTTCCTGGACTGGCCCTGACTATACACACTGAAGCTCACTCTCACACTTTTCACTTCCATAGGGGATGGTGATATGTATGAATTACCCTGAAAGGAAGATATCTATGAAAAAGAGTCATATAAGAAAGTTTTCGAGGTGCAAGGTTGGTCCATTTTTTGAATGAGGTGACATTTATTGCAAATTATTGCAGAGGTTCATTCCAGCAGAATTTGGATCTGATCCTGACAAGACTCGGATATCTGACTTGGACAACAACTTCTATTCTAGAAAAGCTGAGATTCGACGCCTTATAGAAGCTGAAGGAATTCCACACACCTATATCTCCTGCAACTTCTACATGAGCTACCTCCTTCCAGCATTGGTTCAACCTGGCCTAAAAGCCCCGCCAAGGGACAAAGTCACGGTATTTGGGGATGGAAGTGTTAAAGGTTTGCTGGACCGCATTTATGCAGCTTCGTTATCTTAATTTGGTGGGATAATATTTTCTTACGAAATTTGAGTATATTGCTGCAACTTGCATTTTCTGCAGGGGTCTTTGTTAAAGAAAGTGATGTTGCTGCCTTTACCATCAGTGCTGTTGATGACCCACATACACTGAATAAGGTGCTATATCTGAGGCCCCCAGGAAATGTTTACTCAATAAATGAGCTAGTTGAGATTTGGGAGAGTAAGATTGGGAAGAAGCTTGAGAAGATATACGTGTCAGAGGAAGAGTTTCTTATGAAAATTAGAGGTATGTCAGTACTCAAATAATGTACACTACGATTCTCGAAGTTGCACCGGTACTCTGCCAATTTTAAGACACCATCGAAGCAGTTGAAATCCACTTAACAAAATCTTTGGTCTCAGTTCAAATGTCATTAAGGCACGCACTCACTAATATCTCTTGCTTGAAATTAGAAAATCGCTGTCAGAAAATAAGGACAGTTTTTTTTTGCATTTCCATTTGATTTTTTGGTGGGGTTAGACTTCATAGAATTCAAAATGTCATGAAAAAGAAAAGGTTATATTTCACTTTTTATATATATAATTGGGATAACCCGTGCCGGAAGGCACGATGCAATTCAAAAAAAATCAAGTATTGAATTTGGGCATGAAATAATTAAGTATTGAGTTGGGACATGTACTAAGCTGAAAGCCTAAACTGTTCTTATAATCCGTCCCTAAAGGCATTGTGCAATTAAAAAAAATGAACATTGTTCTTGAACATGAAATAATCAAACACTGAACATAGACATGCATTCAGCTGAAAGCCTAAATTGCATTTTTAATGGCATGACTTTGGTGAAATAAAGTGGTTCAAAATATTTTCATTTCAATTGTTAGAAGGAATACTAAATCCTGAATGTACCATGTATGCTAAACAAAAATTGTTAATATTTAATCTAAAATAATTATTTTGGTCTTTTAAAAATATTTAGACAAAAATTTTCCTAAAAATAGGATCGCAATAAATTATCAACCTATATAGACGATCAATAAAATACTAAGTAAAATGTACGTGCTTGTAAAACAATTTATGCTTCTAAAACAATAGAAAACTGTTCTTCCTACACGAATAACTATATGAATACTTGTAAAAGTGATAGATGATACCACCATTTTCTTAAAAAATTGGAATAAACCTATAAAATTTTTCAATCACATACAACTTTAATCATCCAACAAAATGACATAAACTACTTCTAAATAAATCTCTACCTCAATGAATGAACAAAACCAAGCTTTGCCCAATTCAAAATTATATACACTTGAATTATATTTTGGGTTATTCTAAAATTTGTGCAATTCAAAAATTAAGCTCCCTTTTGCTTTATATTAATGAAAAAAAATAAAATTAATGTAAGAAACTTTTAAATTTTCGACAGGGTATTCCTTAAAAATATGATATCACAAATATATCAACCTGTCTACAAAATTTATATATTTCATAATCATACACAAACTATGCCATATGCATGTCTAGCTCAAACTAAGTGTCAAATACCACACCAACATAATATTTTTTTACCATCATGTTGCCTAAACACAATTATTTACTGACTACCCCAATAACATCATAATATTAATTATCGTCATGCCTAAACATAACTATTTACTAATTACAAAAAAAAAAATAATAATAATAATAACCATTATCCTGTCTATTTCAAATTATTTATCAACTAATACAAAAAGCATAATAAAGTTAACCTATAGTATTGCCTAAACACAACTATTTACCAACTAGCACAATAAGATTAAAGAATGATCACAAAACATAATTATACAGTACATTTGCAAAATTTGTCATTTTTTAATCTAGTTTATCAAAATGGGTCATCCATCATTGGGTTCATCAAACGTTCTCTCCATCACGACCTGAATGTCATTCTATTCAATCCAAAGGAACTTTGCAACTTAAAAAAAATAACCGTCAATTTGAAATAATTTTTCCTTCATTTACTTTTACTAAAGAAATTAAAATCAATTTAGTCCTCTCGAATTTTTTAAAAAAATTTGAAAATAGTAGCCCAAAAAATTTTAACCGGTATACAAAAGTTATATGTCTCATAATCATACCCAAATCAACATCATAATATTAACTATTCATATCACAATCCTTCCTCCAAACAACAATCTACCAACAAACACAATGCAACAATTTACCTTAGTTAATACCCGTGCCTTAAGGCACCATGCAATTTAAAAATATCACCAATGAAGAAAAATGAGATGAAATTAAAATAAGTTAACTCCTTTCAAATGTTGGTCGAATTGCAGATAAGTTTAAATCAAACAAAAAAAAAAGATAATTCAAGTGGAAGCATATAAGCAATCATACAAACCCAATAAAGCAAATGAAAGCATAAAAATGGGAGTAATTTGTAACTGAGAAATTGAGAAAACAAAGATAAGAGGATTCTTTTCATGATAGGGGTTCTTTCAACATCTAAAAGATAGTGTATTGATGAACATTAATTGAACACCCAAAAAAAAAAAAAAAAGGAAAAAAAAAATGACACTACACCTGATGGGTATAATAAACTTTCGATTGAAAAAGATTCTTAAACCCATAAACCTTTATAGTGTTCAAAGAATAGATCACATTCGAAGTGGTATGACCACTAATTGTTTAGGGGAAACGCCATTGAACATATATACCTTTTAACACAATATGCACACCTTCATGATTAAGATTGAAAATATATCAAAAAAATAGTTTTACTATTGAAAAAGAAAGAAAATGATAAACATGTGGCGTAGGCACACAATTAAGATATTCTAATCCACTAAATTCAATTTTTTCCACCTTCATTTGTTAAAAGGACAAACATCAAGAAAGCATGGTAACAAAACAATCGCAATAGCCAACAATTCATGCATCATCAATTCTTTGGTACTAAATGCAATCAAAAAAAAAATGTTTTTAGGCTTGTGGTTTAAGTGTCCAACTACTTGAGTTAATAATTGAAGTTTTGAACTAAAAGACTTCATCAATACTTTGACCATCATATCCTGAGCCATGCAATAAAAATAAACAAGCTATGCCATGCATTATTTCTAATGAGCAAAGAAATTAGAATATTGGCAGGAAGGATCCATGTACATTAAGCATTCATATAAGTGAAAGATAACGTTGAAAGACTTCGCCTTATTTGTATTTCAGTGACAACACCAAGAATTAACTATGGTACTAAATGCTAAAAATCATATCATAATTAATGGTATACAAAATACCTATTTTATTTTAATTATTTTTCTTCATTCAACCAAACTATATATTAAGATAAACAATGTATTCCAACCACACAATTCATTTCCATACCCTCCTAGTGCACTTATATTATTAAACAAATTCCATAGGCAATTGCTACTACAAATAGAGTCATTCGTGTTAAGAAACAAATAAAAGAAAGCTGGTTGTCACTCAAGATTATACAGGTCTACCTTAAAGCTTGTATTCATTCACCACATTTCCATCCTTCTTTTATGAAACAAAATCGATAAAAAAATGCATCAATACATACAACAATTGTCAATTATTAAAATCAACATCACCTAAATGAGAAAAGGTTTCCATGGGTCCTTGCCAATAGCACCACTGTGCAGCTAATCGTTCACCATCTTCCAATCTCTTCTTGATGCAAAAACATAGCACAATTGAGGCCCCCATAATCTTACAACATCACCTTTCAATCTTCCACTTGAATAATGAATCATCAAAAACTATGCTGGCAACAAAGATCATGAAATATTTTGAATTGTTCGGGAAACATGAAAAGATCAATGTTTCTCAATCATTATTTATAGTAATTTTTAAATGCCTATAATTTTAGGTATAACACTTAGGTGGGTGGATTCATCCTTCTAATAAGCTTAACATCTAAATTTTGTTCAAACAACTTGTCAGCAGAGTTATTTGCTCCAATTCCATAATCAATTCATTACAATTAAGTTTAGCATGAAACAACCATCCATCCATTAATTAACATTAAGCCAATCGTTAAATTTCAAGTAAACAAAATATTCAAATTCAACAAACCCAACTCGGGCCATTTCACAATCTTATGAAGCAATTGAAACTTGAAAGATGAAATCAAATCACAACCCATATTCAACTAATCAAAAAAAAATTAACAAAATAATACCTATAAAACTAATTACTCATCGAACCCTAATTATAAAGAAGTTTATATAGCATACTTTTTGGCAACCAATAGAGACCACCCACCGTTCTAAGCAATGACAGGTTGCGGCATAGCACCGATTTTTTCTTGATTCCATAGTCGACGTTGAAGTTAAAATTGGATCTTTTCATAAAAATATATTTCCTGCGACTAATTGCGAAAATAAAAAATTAATTACTAAATTACAAGAAATTTTTTTTTAAAAAAAAATCCCATCCGAAATTGAAAAGTTACAAAACACCCAAATTTTAAATTGATTTTTAGCTTCATAAAGTAAGGAAAATACTAATATAAGCATCATATAGGAATTTCAAGGCTATTCATTTCGCTATAGTGCAATTTACAATTCATAACGTGTGAATAGATTATGACAAAAATACTAAAATGCCTAAAAAGAAACTGGATGGACCATAAATTTGTCCCATGAAGTAGTCTCTATTTCCAAGCAAAAGGGATGAAGAATCTTCACTACATTAAAATAATTGTTTCTGTGCTTTTTATCAAGCACTTGGAGCCCAAATCCAAATTAGGCTGGGCAAATGCTCCCCAACCCAAAATGGCAAAACCCCCTAAAATTGATTTAGGTGAATTAGTGCAGCCAACTGAAGTACATATATGTTGCAGATACATATTGTATGGCCATTTCCTTAAACAGACAGTTTACATAGTAGAAACAAAGAAAAAAGGCAAAGCATCTATAATGGAGGTTAACCATTTGGACACTTCATTAAACACATCCCATGCTCACTAACACCAGACAACACACATACAAAATGCTTCTAGAAATCAACCTTAGTTTAAGATTTTCAAAATGTAGAAGACAATCTCAATGGCAGGAAAAATCAACACAACTACTCAACCATGAAAATTACCCATAAAACTCATTCATCGTAGTAAGAAAACTCATCGGCAAATTTAGCAAGAACATCACCAAAAAAAACCAAACTTTACCATCCTCCATACTGTACAATCAGTAAAATTGCCCATTACTCAATCTTGCACATTCACTATGTAACCCATAACCAAGCAGATAAATAGAAAACTTAAACACAATCAATATGTGTAATCCAAATTGGAACCACAAATACCAAACCCCAAAATTTAATGCCTCTAGTGTGCTATGCGTGTGTTCTATGTGCGTGTGGGTGTGCTGTGTACAGAGAGAGGGAGAAAGAGATGAAGACAGAGAGAGGGAGGCAGAGAGTGGATACCTGAATCTGGGCGATTCTTTGGTGGTGTTTATGGTGTCGTCAATGGTGGTCGCTGGGCCACCTCTGGTGACTGCAGGCATTGTGATTGGAGAGAGACAGGAAAGGGGGAGAGAGAGGAGAAAGGGCATGTGTGTGTTCTGTGTGAGAGAGAGAGATGGGGGAGGGGGTAACGTAAAGAGGGGAAGGGGTTCATAGAGTGGGGTGTGCGTGTCAGGCAGGTGTGTGTGTTGGAGGCTGTGCATGACCGTTGAGAGATTGTGTGATGAGCGGGAAAAAATGTAAATGAGATGAAATTCATCTTCCATACTGCTTTATTATATATATATATATTAACTTTTTTTTTTCACTCAAACCCTTTGAGTTTTGTCAAAAGAATAAGGTAACCTCCTGACATTTGCAAAATGACTTGGCCACCTGTTACATTTGAAAATTTTGTAATTGAAATACCGTTCTCTTTCAAGTTGAGAAGTGAAGAGGCTTGACTAAGACTGCCAATCTTGTTACATTTCAGAAACTCCATATCCATACAACATGGAGATGGTTTTCATATATTCCACGTTTGTGAAGGGAGACCAGACATACTTTGATATCGATCCATCTAGAGGAGTGGAGGGGACAGAGCTTTATCCACATCTGAAATACACCACCATAAGCGAGTATTTAAATACCCTATTGTAAGACTATTTATTACTAATTTCTAGTTAATTGAAATTGATCCTTTCTTGTCTAAGTAGCTAACATATCTCAGATTTTGGGGGAAGAAAAAAAAAAAGAAAATCTGAAATCGAATGAATGTATTGAAAGAGTTTCTTCTTGGGTTTATGTTGGCAGGGCTGCAGTACAGTCTGTCTTTTGCTTATACCTGCCTGGCAGACATGCCTATTATCTCTTTTTTTTTTGTTTGTTTGTTTGGGGGGGGGGGGGGGGGATTGTTGACTCCATGGACATCTTGTATATTCTCACTATCATAGCAAGGCAATGCAGAAGAGGAAAGGTCCCAGGACATCAAACTCAAAGGTAAATAGACTCAAGTTTTTCAGAGGCAGATTATAGAATTTTGCATGCACTGAAATCAGGCACTACTCCTTGCTCCTTTTTATTAATTGCTGGTTTTACAGAAATCCATAAAGTTAAATTGGAATTTTGCATCCACTCAATTTTTAATTATGTCAATTTTGTTCAAGTTGAATAACCATTAACTTTATTAGGTCTTATACCATAAGTAGGGCTTAATGAATGTAAATGCAGGATACTTAACACTTGATCAAAATTAATAAAATTTGAAATTGATAGGACTTGAAGGCTTAAAGAGCATAGCAAATTGAAGGTATTATTTTCCCAATTTCCTTGTCGGAGTGAACTGTTAAAGAAAGCTCACATAGTTATTGTGTACTCCTCACAGGTTAACGCTCAGAATACATCCAGGCTTATGGATGATCCGAAAAAGGAGAGGGGAAGTTGATCTTGGAACCTCCCATTCAGCGAAACGCCAAGACCAACTAATTCACCCCTTGGAATTTTCTCCACATCTACTCGTAAACAGATTTCGTAGAATTTTCTCGTCAATCTAGACTACTTATAAATGTAATTATATGTTATTTTTTTTAATTTTATTCTTAATTATTAAAATAAAATCAATTATATCCTCATTTATACTTTTATTTAATTTTTATTTTTTACTCCTATTTGACTTTCAACTTTTTTTAGACTATTTTATAAAGATTTTTAAATTTTTTAAACTCGTTTATTAGTAGAGTATAATTACATACAATTTTTTATATCTAAGATTAGATATTCCCCTCATTCTTCCTATATGTTATTTGCGGAATCTGGTTCTTTTGGGGTTATAGTTGATGGTTGTTTCTGAATTCCATATCTACTGCAGAATCGGATGTGAGAGTTTCTTTTCATCCAGCTCCTCACGACTAAAATAAAAACCGATGAAAAAATATTTCATTTGAATTTATAATTTATATAATATGTTATAATTATAGCTTTTATTTATAAAAAGTATTTTTTTATAATGTCATAATGAAATTTTATTTTGGTTTTTTGTAACGTGTTGGATTGCCCCAAATTCAGCAATCCGGTAACGGGCAAGGGAGGAGGCCCATTCATTCGAGTTCAATTCCAAGCAAACGAAATTTTTACAAAGATGTTGGTTCGTTAAATTAAGTTTTTTGGTCAAATATGTTATATTTTATTTTTTGATTTAATATTTAATAATATAATAATGCTATAAGCGATCTAATCAATTTATTTATAAAATAAAAATTAATAATTTTATAATATAATTAGATGTGTAAATATCTACAAGGTTTGAGTAATATCTGAATAAATAACATATTAGATACTTAAAAATTTATAGAATAAAATTAAATTTAGTGATTATTAAATTTTGGTATTTAATTTATGTTTTATTATAAATAAATATTATTTAAATTTATTTACGAATTGTATTTAAATATCGCTTCAATTTCCATAACCCTGCACATCTCTGTGTTAGATTCGGAGATAATGCTGATGACTTGAAAAGTATGAATCATGAGGGAGAACATTACATTAGACTGACATGTGCAGCTGTTCTTAAGCTTTATTTTGGGAGTGCTTGAGTCAGTATCTCACTGGTACATTAGATTTGTTGCGCTTTCACGCACCAAGTTGTCTGCCCTTTGGGTTGGTATATATACCCCCACTTGTCGGTTTATTGGTAGGCCCAACCCCAAGTTAGTGAAGACCAGTTCAGTGAGTGCTCTATCACTATGTATGTTCCTCGTGGGATTTGATTATTTTATCACATTTGTGATTCTTTTAACCACATTTGAGCTTTTCTTATCACATTTGTGAGTCTTTTTGTCACATTTGAGGTTCTTTTATCACATTTCTGAGTCTTTTTTATCATTTTATAGTACCCCAAAAAATTGTAAACATAATCACTATAATAGTGGTAAAAATATTCATAAATGTGGTAAAAATATCTACAAATATAATAAAAACACCTATAAATGTGATAATTTTTTTTCGTATTAAAAAAAATGGTAAAAATAGTTATCACAAAAGTGACTCACAAAAGTTATAAAAATACTCATTAAAGTGGTAAAAGTTGAAGGTACGATACCAAAATTATTTCTTTAGTTCCATAGTGAACTCCGCCTCATATGAATCTTTTTGGCTAAGGTCATTTCCACTCTCGACTTAAATTTTTATTTAAATTTGGATTAATATTTGAGTAAAAAATTTGATTTGATACGAAATATTTAAATAGGGAATTTGTTTCATTTGGTTTGGGTTTGAGGGAAGGGTTAAAATTTGTTTTTAGCATGTTTTTACTCAACGACATAATATCGTGGTTTAGTTAGGAATTGTAGATGTTCCAACTCTGATAAAAATAGGGCGTGTTTAGTTTAGTTTTTAAAAATTATTTTTTGTTCTTAAAATTTAAAAACATTCAAAATTTGTTTGTTTGGATACTGATTTTTGAGATGTAAACTAAACAGGTCTACAGTGTTTTGGTTGACTTTCTTGAAGTTTTTCAATAAAACACGTGACTTTATTACAGTAATAGCACTTCCTCGGTTGCACATAGTATCATTAACTAATAATAATATGTTATGTAGTAACTTTCAGTAATCTCCATATTTGACTAATTAATGCATTGGAATAGTAGGGTTCAATTATCCTACATAGTGTATTATTATTGACCGATAATATCACGTGTCATCGACAATATAATATCACAGTTACAATAAATATTTCCTCCTTGCCGAGGGGATTGGGGATAAATGGTGTAAATGAATTGAGTAAATATACAAACACCTTTGTATTCATGTACATTCTTTGTTTTTCATCAAAATTGTCTTTTAGTTAAAAGATTACTTAAACAACATTATATTAGCAATAATAGACATTGAAAGGTGGATAGTGTTCCGTAATCATTGTGTTCTACAATGAAACGGTCGAAATGCATTTTGTACACACATCATATGAATGTCTAAAGTAATCGAAATTAGCTATTAATGTAATAGTTATTATCTCTATTATTGAATTTTAAAGGTGTAAGTTCAAAACCGCTGTCTCCCTCAAATAAATATTATGTGTAATCATTTGATAAAAAAATAATAAAATAGATAAAATGAGGTTTATTTTTTATTATGAAGGTTGTTATGTATTTGTTGATTTATTTAGACGGTCATAATTGATATTTTTTTTCAAAAAGAGAATAAAAAATAAGGATTAAATGATAGTTATTAGTATAATGATGTTGTTAATTTTAATTTTTACACGTTTAAAATTCATTGGTCACTGTAAAAATATACTTACGAAATTTTAGGAACGGTAGTTATCGCACTTTTCGAATTGTCCTTACTAATGCAAGTATCATTGAACTTGGACACATTCAAGAACTACATAACATTTGGGCAACATGCAATCTAAGGGCAATTAAGAAGTTTTATGTGCATAAGTAAGGGTAGTTTAGTAATTGTATAAACTTTATCTTCTTCTAATCATTTCCACTATAAATACTGAACTCGTGACAACTTCCCATTAACCGCCCCACTCTCTCTCTCTCTCTCTCTCTCTCTCTCTCTCTCTCTCCTATAGAATTCTCTGCAGATTAGGCCGGAAAAGCCCAAAAGGTTCTTGTGATTTTGATCGGAGACTCTGAAATGGCCGGAAAAAGCAAGATTCTGATCATCAGAGGCACCGGATACATCGGAAAATACATCGTCGAGAAGAGCGCCAAGGCCGGTCACACGACCTTCGCTCTGATCAGGGAGTCCACCGTCTCAAATCCTTCCAAATCAAAGATCATCGAGGGCTTCAAGAACCTCGGCGTCAATATAATCCATGTCCGTAAATTTGAATCCATTATACTCACACCATTTTTGCTCACCTTTTTTTTATCTCTTTACGAGAAATTCGAGAAAATAACATGAAATTAAAGTCTAGTCTATTATTTTATTGAAAGTATTATTGTTTTTCACTTTGCTGATACTTGCAGGGGGATCTGTACGATCACGAGAGTTTGGTGAAGGCGATAAAGCAGGTGGATGTGGTGATCTCAACAGTCGGAAGTCCTCAGCTGGACGATCAGGTCAAGCTAATCGCCGCAATTAAAGAAGCTGGTAACATCAAGGTTATAATGCTCCTCCTGTATTTATTATCTTTAATATTCGAAACTGATATGGCATACCGTTCTTGCTTTTGTTTTGCAATGTTGTATTCTATGATGCAAGTTTTTTAGGTTATAGAGGTCGTCATTTTCCTCTTCTTTCATAAGAGAAAGATTCAGATCCGGTAAAGTTTGAATGCATTTCTCTCTGTTTTCGGTTGTGCTATTCTGTGGAAATTACTGTGAAATTAGCTGCCTCAGTGTTCACCCTACCCTACCTACGGCTTGGAAATATGGTCTTTCCGAATTTTTCTTAACCTACTCTCCCCGATCAAGTATAATATCCTTATTCGAATTCCGTCCAAATTAATCGGATAAGAAATTGGGTAAACATGTTTTATAATTATTAATTTTTGAATTATTTTAACAATTCAATTAATTAACTTGTACCAATTTATAGAAAATTATAAACAAAATCTTAGAAATCATATATTATAAAAACTCAGAAAAATCAAAAATCACATACTATGGATTTAAGGCTAGAGAGGCAAGATGAAGAGACGAGAGAGGTGACATAAGGAGGCGATGACTTAGACTTTTAAGTATATATATATGCGGGTAGGGTAGAATAGGAATGCGGAGATTTAATGGGTATTCCGTATTCCCATCCAATTTAATCGGATGACCAAAATTGTTCTACATTTCTACGCGATTTTTTCGGTTAACCAATCAATAGGATCGGGTAGAATCGGATAGGATAGGAAATTGCAGGTAATCGAAAATTTGAACACCCTTATTCATTAAATATGTTATTTCCATTTGGTTATGATGTGATCGTATATTGATATTCTTCTCTTTGTGGAAAGACAGTTGGATGACATTTTATTACAATGAAAGTGGTCCTTTGACGAATGGGCACTAGTGAAGTAGTGATAGTGAATTTTGTTTCCCTTTTTAGCAATGAAAATACATGATGAGTCACCTACAGGAAAAAAGAAAAAGGAAATACATGAGGGATGGCTAGTATGGAACAAAGGTTTTGTTGAAAGGGAGTCGGCATTTTCATTTTGAAGTGTAGTTTTCCAGTTGTGCATTGGGGCAGATACTTATACTTGCAGCTTGGAGCTGATAAGACAAAGTACAGGATATTATTTTTTCTATTTACTTTGACTTCCTTTTTGAAGTTAAACCTCCCTGTCTATTATTTTAGTCATTGTTCTATGACCCATTAGTTAATTTTATAATACATATACTGAAGAGAGAAAAAAAAAGGATTGTTGGATTTTATTCTTTATTTTTATGTCATGGAAACAGATGTTTATTCCGTTGTTACGTTTTAACAGCGATTCTTTCCTTCTGAGTTTGGAAATGATGTGGATCGTGTCCATGCTGTTGAGCCAGCCAAAACAGCATTTGCAACCAAGGCTAAAATCCGCCGGGCTATTGAGGCTGAAGGAATTCCTTATACTTACGTCTCTTCCAACTTTTTTGCGGGCTACTTTCTTCCAACACTGGCTCAGACAGGTGCTACAGCTCCCCCTAGAGATAAAGTGGTTATCCAGGGAGACGGGAATCCAAAAGGTAGACTCCATTTTTCTCCGAAATGTTTTACTTTACTTGCTAAACATTTGTGCTGGTTGATGGATAATAGGTAGACTTCATGAATTTTAAGAATGCGGCTATTGGTTGAACTGCTGTGGACCTTAAAACCTTGACTGAGCCAGCTGGCCCTACCCAGCTGACGTTTATACTTGCTGCAAGAATGGAAATATGAAGCACATGATTGTCTCTTCATTTATTTGTTCATTGTCATCATTATAATGGTCATGTTTACTATTGATATTAGCTTAAGACAAGGTCTACAGCTTATTGCAAGCTGAAAGAAATTACTGGGAAGGTGTATAAATTTTCTATCGATATGCTAAACTTTAACCAGTTTATTTCTTTATGTTTGCAGCTGTTTTTAACAAGGAGGAAGACATTGGCACCTATACCATCAAAGCTGTGGATGATCCAAGAACTTTGAACAAAATCCTTTACATTAAACCCCCTGGAAACGTATACTCATTCAATGAGCTTGTGTCCTTGTGGGAGAAAAAGATTGGAAAAACCCTTGAAAGGATCCATGTTCCAGAGGAGCAAATTCTGAAGAACATTGCAGGTAAGTAAGGCATACTACTTTTATAAAGGTCTTAGGAGGTGGTTTGGCGGGGGATGGGGTTGGGGGTGGAGAATATTACTTCTGGTAGTCTATCCATTTTAGCGTTGTAGTTCATAATGAAGTCTCCGAATTATGAAACCTGGTGAGTTGATAAATTTGATGCATGAAAGCTATTATCTGATTATTACGTTATTGTTCTTGCAGAAGCTCCGCTTCCAGTGAACGTGATACTATCAATCATGCACTCGGTCTTTGTAAAGGGTGATCACACAAACTTTGAGATCGAGCCATCATTTGGAGTGGAGGCATCAGAGCTGTATCCAGATGTTAAGTACACCACGGTGGATGAGTATCTCAACCAATTCGTCTGAGAATTTGGTTTTACTCATCTCCGGTCTTCTATGATATGCTGCATATTAAATAAATGATCAGTTTAGCTACTTGTCTGAGATTTTATTTTACAAGTAGTGGGTCTGCCCCTTTGTGGTGCTACCTCTGCAGATTTTGTAGGGAGATCAGAGATGCCATGTGACTTGCGCTACTTGATCTATCCTAAGTAGATAAAAGGTTGTGGGATCCCTAGTTATAATACTAGGATTCTGTGTCTCAACCAGATTATATAAAATATTTGTTGGCATTCTTATTCTTCTTGCTTTTCTTTTTGAACTCAAATTTGTGATGATGCCTGACTATTTTTTTGATAAATAATTGGAGTGTCTATGGTCCTGATAACATTCCTGCGGGTGAATCGTGCATGATAGTAGTTCAAAGAGTAATACTAGATCTAAGACTTACAAAATTGATCTCATGATTTGATAGTAATTTGATTTAATAGTGTTATTGTAACTGTAATTTTTATAATTTTTTATTAAGACAATATTATTTAACATCGTTATGTAGATCCATTTTTTAAGTTTCATATTTTAACAGAAAACACTTGATGTTAAAAAAATATATTTCAAATTATTGATGATACCATATTTTAATTACACAAGCTCGTGATCAAATCCAGCGGTTGAAATATGAAATAAGCTTGCAGGCATTAACCACGCAGCTCGTACAGATTTGGGCGTCTAGCTCGACTAGGCCACATCATCCAACTTTCCAAAAGAATGTGTCCCCGACTTTCTCATAGGAACAGTGCCGGCCCCATAGTATAAAAATAAAAGTGGGGCTTTAAGCCCCGCATACGAAAAAAATCTCAAATTTAAAAGTCAATAATATAATATAAATTAAAAAATAAAATTTACTAAAATATTGTCTAACAAATTAATTTTTGAAAGAGTAAATCAACAAAAAAATTAAAAATTTGGGCCCAAAAGTTCAAACCTCCTTACACAATCACATTTATTAAAGGACAAAAAAAATTTTAAAAAAAAAGCTGATAAAATTTATCTCTTTCTCTAATCCAATAGAAAGAAATGTAATAAACTTCTCTGTTTAGTAAAAAAAATAATAAATAGATCAAACACATTATTTACTTCTCTTAAACTTGTTTTTTTTTTTTCTCATTTAAACGTAAAACACTAATTAAACCATTCATTCTCATTCAAAAAATTATTTTGATAAAATTCTTATTTGTAACAAATAAAATATAAAAAAAAAATTAGGTGAAAGTTGCATGGATAAATAAATAAAATTCAAAGATAGTAAAATAATCCAAAAGAAAGATAACAATGAATCTATTTAAAATAAAGTCAATCATCTAATTCCATAGTTTCGATAAAGAATTTGTAAAAAAAATAAAAATATTAATGAAGAAATTTATTTTATTCCTATAAATATTTATGATCAAAAGTCATATTATTAATTAAAAAAATATATTAACAAAAATTTAAATTAAAAAAATTAGCAATTTCGAATCACATCAAAAAGTAAAAATAATAAATTTTAAATTAAAAAATCAAATTATTAGGCCTCAAATGTTGAACCAGCTTAGGAATCCTAACAAACTAGGGGTCATCCTAACAAACTTAGGAGAAAGAGGAGTTAGTGGTTGGGGACCACACAACCCATGAGGATAAGATATGAGAAAAACTATATTTTGTCTCCTACTCCGAGTAATATAAAAAGAGTAATGTTACATTAATTAAATTTATAGCTCAAATGACATGATAATTAATTATTTAAAATTTTTATTGGGACTCAAATGACATGACACCAATCAAAGAAATCCAAGTCAACTGTCATGTTATTTAAGCTTTAAATTTAATCCCAAAATTTGATTAGTCTAACATTACTAATATAAAAAAAATTCTCAGAGCAAAAATTTCATTAGAATAAATTAACCAAACTTTGCAGATGATGAACCACTATACATTGAGCGTCTTTATTGTTCATTTATCTAATTATCATATTTGCAATCATATATTCAAGCCTTAAAGCTCTCCAACTTACTCATCACACATTAACTCACTAGATATCATTACACCTCTAATCCACACATCATTTAGTTACCATATTACACGGCAGAAAATTTCACAATCTTGGGAAGCAGTAAACTCGATACTTTAGTGGTAGTATAAGTTCTCTCCCCGAGCGAGCTAAAAAACTACAGGTATTTAGCACCTTTAACCTCTCTTGTTTTTTCAGTGGGTTAGAGCGCCCTGCACCTGTCATATTTTTTTTTGATTATTTCCAACGTAACAGACAAACAAAAACCAATTTCCAGCGAACATACTAATTATTTCATATGTTCTCTCTTCTTTGTTTCCCCGTTCAAAATACTAAAGTGAAAGGAAAACTTTTCACAGTGAGAAAAATCATCAAAGAAAAACACACGACTGGCTCAATGTAGTTTCTACTGCTCTCAAATAGGGGATGACATGGGTATATCTGCAACTTTAATTAAGGCAGAGACAGAACTAGTACATAGATTACACCCTTTTAAGGAAAACCCAAGTCATTAAAAGTACTCAATATTTCCACGTAATAAATAAGAAAATTTTAGCAATGAACACCTACACCAAGCAAAAACGAGAGCATTCGCTGAAATCCTTCAAAATTTTAGTTGATCTATGAAGCATATGGTCATCTTACTAACCTTTTCGATTCACCCTTTAAAGATCTTTTTATCTGCGACACTTTGGACTTGTTCAATTATGCGCATTCATCATCTTTCCTTTGTTCGCCTTTTTACCCTTTGCTGCCTTACCGGATCCTTTACCTCTCTGACCCTTTGCATTCTTTCCCTTCTTCCCTTTGCCCTGCTTGCTCATTCCATTTGCCCTCGCATCCTTCTTCATTCGTCGATCAACAAGAACCTTCCCCTTGCCAGCCTTTACTTGGACCCCTTTCTTTGCTACCACATACTCCCTCTCAGGCTTTTTCGGGGTCGCCTTCTTATAAAGTTGTTCAATCATCTTGCTCTTTGAACGATCAGAGATGTCTGCCTGGTCTGATATGGAGTTTGCCTTCTTTCGGACCTTCTCTAACTTCCTCATGGCAGCCCGTTTCTTTCGGGCTTTGGCTTGCGCTACCTTCTTAGCTGGCCGAGCATCAATTTCTTTGAACTGTGCTCTCATTGCAGCAATCTCCTCTTTAGTCACAGGCTTTATTGGCTGGCGGTGCCTTTTTTCTTCATCCTCAAACCACTTGGGCAAGCCCTCATCATGATCCATATACCTGTTGTAGGCATCATCAAGTATTTGCTCTCTCTGCTTTTTCCTCAGCATCTTCTTTGCATAAGCCAATATCTCAGCCTTTGTATTAACATCTTCCTCATCTGATTTGTCTGATGATGATTCATCACTTGAATCTGTAGCCGGGGCTGGGACAATCTCAAAATCTTCCTCTGACTTAGAATCTTGGACTGCTTGTACTGGATTTTTGTTCTTCTTTGGAAGTGTGTGGTGTTCCCTTGGTGTACTATTTCTCGTCTTTTTCGAAATCGTGAGTTGTTCTCCTGGTCTATCCAGCTGCATTTCATCTTCACTGTCGTATTTCTCCAGATCTTCATGCTCATCCACTTCAGCGAAGACATCTTGACTAAACCACTTTGCTGTAATCTCCTCCTGAGTTGGCACATCCTCAACAAGTGGTACCACAAGAGGATTCACTTCATGATCACCATGATCGTTGTCAGAGTCTTGATCAGAATGAACCATATCAGCATCATCACCACCCTGTACAGACAAAGAGAGCCAATTCATCATGGCAAACAAAAGTCTACAACAAGAAACAACCATGGCTAATGTTGCACTTCCAAGACAATAATAGCAAGCATGGGGTGGGCAAAATACAAGAACTAGCCATCAATTTATGCATCTTCGACCATTAATTGAGAACCAGGTGTAACAAAAAAAGAAACAAGTAAACAAATACTTGCAACAGAGTAGGATACCCCCAAAAAAACGCTTCTGATGGAGTCAATACGAGAATACTTCCAAAAATAATTTCTTCAGAAGAGGGAGAATCAAAGAATTAAGGCAAATATTACACATCTTCAAGGATTATAGAAGATAAGCTGTTACCAAGCCTCATGGTAACTTAGAAGATGAGCTGTTCCCAAGCCGGTAAGCCAAGCAATTAACTTGTATGGATCTCAACGAGATAAAGATTCTATCTTCCAACTGACTTAGAGGAGAAAACTAAAGTCGCAATTAAAAAGGAGAAAGGTGTCCTCAACACCCCCCCCCCCTTCCCTTTTCTCTCTCCTTCCCCCCGCACACAAAAAGTGTAGATAAACATGAAAAACTGGTCAGAAGAAAACGACGATGTAGCAAGCAAAACAAAATCACACACAAGCAAAGACAAATTCCACCAATAGAGTGATACCTCAAAAAGTTTGCCATCTTTTGCATGGGATTGTTTTGAACGCTTTCTCTGCTTTGTACTTCCTTCCACTCTTGCCACAAACCTTTCATAAGCTTCATCAAGTAACTCTTCTACATGCTCATCATATCTGACAATAGAATTTATCATTTAGTTGCACATACATATGAAATTAGATATCACATTCCTGAAGTTCATAAGAGAAGGGGAACCACCGTCTGCGCTCTTCATCAGAGTCCACATCACTGGATGAGTGGTTTTGGGCTCCATTGTGGGTTCCTTCATTTTCACTATCATCCACCTCACCGGCTCCATCATCATCTTCAATCTCATTGACAGCCACTAGATCTTTCTTCCCCTGAATGCCAACAATGCAAAAGGATGGGAAAAAATATCAACATTGACAGTAGATATCCTAAATATTTAATAGAATTGTTGCCAATGATTTCACTAGGAGTGAAAAGACAATGACCACATTAGTCGGGTTATCCTCTGATACTTGGGCAGTATTCTATCAAGAAGGGAACTGTTCAAGACTCATGACAAGAAATCAATGTCTAAAACTTTAGACTTGCAATTCTTTCTTCCTTGAAATAAGTATGACAACTAAAATTTTGCAATATTTCTTTACGTGCATATCAGCACATAAAATAATCACCTCATGTTGGAGCCAACAATTTTAAACAGAAAAAAGCTCCAAAAGTAATTTCTTGAATTTCTCGCAATAAGGTGCCCTCCTAACTACTAGTGACCTATTACATGGGCCAAGTTCATACAATCTATTTCTAGTTGATGCATATCCAAGCCTAATCCAAGGCAATGAAATGTATCTTGTCAAATACATTGTTGCTGACAGGTTTTCAGGAGTAGTGAAAAACATCATGCCAGCAGGTTCGAATAAATTTGAATAAGTATCTAGACAAACCAACAAAATCATATTTGTTGTACAGACTTACCATAAAAATGGAGTAGGGAAACGTGCTTCAGTTTTCTATCAAAACATCGAAGTTAAGGTAGTCATTAACTCTGTCTATGTGCAAGAGAGAGAAAGAGGGGAAGAGCTTAACCCCGACCCCAGGGTGGGAACTCTTAGTTCCTTAGGAGCCAGTCACTTATGTTGGTAAAATCAGGATCCAGTACTTACCATATCTCTAACATACCACAAAATAAAAACATTTGCTGGCCGTCACTAGTTGAGGGATGTATGAGCACCATGCATCATACCTACATGAATCCTCGAATCATTTTTGAATATTTAATCTCATTGATATCATTACGATGGATGAAATGCTCCAGGTCTCAGCACGTGGCCATCTGTGGGTCTTGCCACTGTCCATGGGTGAGGGGTTTTTGATTCCATAGCTCTTCAATTTATTTCTCATGTAAGGCCTCAATATTTGACATCCTCCCCCCCCCCTCCCCCAAAAAAAAATAAATAAAATAAAAAATTATCCCTGAACGTCAACTCCAAACAACCTACCTCCCAATCTCCCACCCCATCCCACATCCAAAAAAAACCAAAAAAGAAGAACAACTTAGAACAAAGTATGAAGGTTCTAAATCCATCCAGAGTCCCAGACCCAACCTCCAGTAAAACCACGAACTCCATTCTCCATAATACTTGAAGCATGCACTGAGATACAAATCAGAAATCTGACTACACTTGCAAAATCAATAATGAATTTCACACCATAAAAATACCTTGATGGAAGATAAAGAAAACAGCTCGTGGTCAGTATAACCATCTTCCATTGCATCCAATTGTGAACCCGTTACCTTCCGTGCTTTGTCCTGAAAATTTAAAGTGAAGCGAAAGATAACTCCGTCATTAACATTTAGAAAAAAAATCCACAAATCTCTCAAATGAGATTTAATGCTATATAAACCTGTACATATGCAACAATACAGTGGTGCAAGAGATAGGGTGGTTGATGCCCACTTGGACAGCAACAGCATGCTATGGTAGAGAAAATAGCAGTGCATCTAGTGAAAGATTAAAGTTATATTAGGATGGATATGTTCGTTACAAGAGTGATCAAGGGCAGGCACCACACAACCCATGCAGCAATAGGAGAATCACTCTAACGAAACCCAGGAACACAATTTTTTGAACCAAAAAAAAAACTTCATGAGAATCAATGTCAAAAGTGATACAAAACTAATACAGCATGTTGGTACTATGAATCCTATTTGAACTGGCTTCAAATACCTAAAGATCATGCTAAGACCCGATAAATGAAACCCACGTCAGCTTAGTCTACAACAACTAATTAATATTAAATTAGTAACAAATAATCAAACTCATATGATGCTGATCGGATGCCAATAGACCAGCTCAAACAACATACCTGCAGAGATTTGAAGTGTATTGGTCCTGGCCTTGGGCTTGGACCATTGAAATATGAACAAATTATAGCTGCAGACAGAACCATGCACAGCCCTATCAGCTGGAATGGAAGTATCCCTAAAATGTTGTAATGCAGTGGCTGGAGTGGTGTTGATCAGCTCAATTAAGATTAACTTCATTTACTTAAAAGTGGTACAGACAGCTTATATATCAACGGTTTACTGAAGTTCTATGCCTATCAGTTAGAAGTGTAAATATAAAGTGCATCTATAGCAATAGCCCTGAGTTGGGAATGCGTGTGCATGTGTGTGTGAGTGTGAGAGAGACAGACAGATAAAGAGGGGTTGACACAAGAGAGGGGAAGGAAGTTGTGAACGTTGCGTTTAGACCTTAGCTCGTCTTTTTGCAAGAAGTTTCTTTGCTTGCTTCTTCTTACGCTCAATAGCATATGACAACTCCTCCATTTCATTGAGTACTCTCTCATCTTCATCTATATCATCCTTGCTCCCATGTTCGTCATTCATGATTGTAGAAGTAGACTTTTGTGAAGGGGATAATGCCTTTCTTATATGCATACGCCATCTACAAGGCAAAACAAATATAGGAACATAAGTAATGTGATGGCAATCTTTAAATGAAAAAGAAAAGGAAGCTAAGATATCTCTATGTATACGAAAACAATGTATCTACCAATATGGTCTACCGCATCTGCACGTGCATGGAACTAGGTTCACAATTTCTACGTTCAGGTTACATTTTCTGCAATTGAGCCGCTCTCTCGAATAATGTTTAAGCTCATGAAACACCTTGAGCCCTGCTTGAATAGTCCATTTAAAGTACCCTAGACCCATTGCCAATTAAAAATAAATTCAACTAACCCCACTAAAGACAAAGATCTAGAACCACAATGTGGAGATGTGAGAAATAAATTGCACAGATAAAGTTGGGCCCTACTCTATTTTGGGAGTTCGAGTATAACCGTAAGTTATTATGTACAAATATTGGCATTTTCAATGGTCCAAGACTGTAAGTGATGGTCCAATGTGCACAAATTTATAACTGCATAAGATAGAACAAAACTCTGACACCATTACCTTGCTTTGATTTGCTCTGAAGCCTATAATCTTTCCAAGAAATTGTCTCCCTTACTTTAAATAACCCTAGCCCACACTAAATTGATTTCTTGTATAGCTTGTTAACCCTTCAGACATTCATTTAACCATCCAAAGCAATGTGCATAAGAACATATGTTTACAACTTGAAGAAATTCATCTTTATTATGAGCTCCAGTTTTCTAAGCATTTTGCAGTAATGGATAAATGGCCCTAAGAAATAGTCGCTTAATGGAACATAATTGGTCCCTTTGCTCAAGCTCTAATTAGACATTGCATTTATGTATATAACAGCCGTAGGATCCATCAAACACATATTACCATTTCATAAAGAAAAAGGCTATAAATAAGTGTTATAGTACATGTGATAATATTACGTGCGTGAGAAGGGAAAAGTGTTCCTCACTTCAAAAGATGCTTGAAGTCTTGCTTTCCCAAAACACGCAAATCATCACATAGAGCTTTAACCTGGCCAAAAATAGAAGAGCTTGAAGTAGTCAAAAGCATATTTGAATGACCAACAGACCACCAGGGGGTGTTGGGAGAAAATGAAACTGTACCTCCTCTGTTGTTAAATCATGATCCGTTATAGGCAAACAAGCAGGATCCTCAAAGGTTATAGATGTCACTGAACCAAGGATCTCGAGAGGAGTGTCTGACCAAATAAAATCTGCCGCTGAACACACCTTCCTCAAAGTAGTGTCTCCGTCTTCATATCTAAATGAAAATTTAGCCAGCGAAAATCACAACAGTGATCCACATTCACACGAATGCATACCAGCATGCATCTATGCATTCAACAATGTACGGGGGTATTTACCCATTCAAATCTACGATATTAACATTAATATAAAACAAATAAAAGGCACACACACTACATAATAAAATCTGAATGCAATGTATACATATTCAAATCTGTGGCTCATCCTTGTTACATTGTTGCCAACAGTCACACCATATTTTGTAAGCAAATGGTAGAGAAATGCAAAATGGCGCAGGCAGAAACTCCATTTCTCTTTTCTGAAAGTTGAATTACATTGTTCACACGAATGATAACATACTCGATGCAATAATATCATGTATATAAGTATTACCCATCGCGGTGTCTCTTTTGCTTCGTTCCTCTAAGCACATCAAGCACCTGAGTTGTTAAATACATACAAATGAGAACCTCAATCTGTTTAATGATGGATGGCAAGACAAAGGTATAAGTATTGTATTACCTTCGGGGGTTCTTTACCTCCCTGGAATAAGTGTTTTACATCAAGAAGCCGTGGATCAATCTTCGCAGGGGCTTTATACTTAAAGCCTAAAACGTAAATCTCTGCCGATGCTGAACGACTAGCCAGTGGTTTATCCACCTCAACTTTCTCAAATAGCTGCTCAGCAAATTTCGAGGTCAGCATATTTTTCATCTATAAAGATGTAATTAATAAGTTTCAGTGAAAATGCAAGATCTTCACCTGCTTAAGACAGTAAACAACTGCACTGTAGTCTTGAGACCTGAAAATCTACAAGACAATAGTGAATAAGTAATCAATATTTTCCTGCCATAATTTTCCCCCTCCCTGATGGACGGAAATATTGCACTGACGTGAACTGAAAATTCAAATCATACGAAACTGAGGTAAAAAGAATACAGACCATTTCCACTGGAATGAACATAAAATATTTATTCATCTGCCCATAATAACTAGCAATAGGTATCACTCACAATTCAGAAGCGAAATTTGACTCCAAGCAGAACAGCAACGTTCAAATGATGACAAAACAGATAAATAATACAACCAAAAATAAGCGTTTGTGTGTGTAACACGTAGATGCATCGATATGCTAACAAACCTTGCAATACACACATGAAGAAGGCATAATATGCGATTCACAAAAATCAAAATCAAAGATGTTCTACATATGAAACCCTAAACAAACCATTCAAGTCCTTATCGGTACCATCCGCATAAAAACACAGCAAAAAAGTATCAGAAAACAATTCAGATCATATCTGATCATAATAAAGTCCAGAGAGAGAGAGAGAGAGTACTTTGGTAATGAACGTTCCTTTTGGGGCTAAAAACTCCGTAGCTAGCTTAACAGAATCGATAACCAATGCATTCTGACTAGTAGCCTCCCTAGCCCAGGCTCCACCGACATTCGGCGAACCATCGTGCAACACCAAATCAAAAGCCCTTACACTATTCTCAGCCATAAGCTTCTTGATAATGGCCCTACACTTGGGCTGAGTGATATCTTCTTGCACAGAAATCGCTCCGCGAACCGGTCGGATGGGGTCGAGATCGACGCCGATCACGAGACTTCCGACGGGAACACGTTCGACGGAGACTTGCATCCAACCTCCCGGAGCGGCACAGAGATCGAGAACGGAGCGAGATGATCGGAGGAAGGTGAATTTGGAGTCGAGTTGAATGAGTTTCCATGCGGCTCTGGATCTGTAGCCGTGTTCTTTGGCTAGGTGGTAGTACTTGTCCAAACGGTGCTTGCCTTTCACCTTCCCCATCTACCTCTAGGGTTTGGGCTCACATACAACGAGAGAGAGAGAGAGGAATTACCCGTGTATGGGGGCGGGTTTATCAGGGTTTTAGGTAGTGTTTATTTTATTTTATTTTTTTTATTTGCTTTTCTAGGGTTTCCATTTCTTTTTCCCGGAAAATCGGTTTTTGATTTGTTGGCGATTGGAATAAGGCAATTTTATAAATAAAAAATGTCAATTTTTAGCTTAAATTATTTTCTTTTCTTTTTTTTTCTTTTTTTGACGTAGAATGTTTAAATTTATATTGACTACTTACGTTAATTTAAGGACATATTCTCTTAGCAACAAGTATGATTGACCCTTACTAGTATTATAAGTATCAAATGTAAGATCGCTTACTTATAAGATAGCAAACTTAATCACTCAATTACCTCTAAAAAATTTATAGTTATCGAACAAACAAAAATGTGTACACCCAAATGACCCAATTTTAGCATCACACTTGAAGTTATTCCAATGACTTGAATACATGACTTAGGTAACTTAATAGTAATTTATTTGTGACATCTAAGTAAAAATTTAAATTCGTCACCACCGGCATAGTTTGGGTTGCATTGAACCTATGACTTGGGTAACTTAATAAAAATTTACTCAAAGTGGCATATAATTGAAAATTTAAGCCCCAAAACGCCACCAAAGTATAGGTTGGGTGGCACACATAACACTCCAAATAGAAGATCAAGAGTTCAAAGCTTGAACTTTGTATGTAGACGGAAAACCCAATCTCTAGTTTCCTTCCTCTAAGTAATTACTTGTGTTGGTTCAAACTTCGTCGTGAACCACGTATAATAGGACTTAACCAAGAGAAAAAAATTGCTAGTAACACTATCGCATACTCCAACATGTGGTGCAAAACTCCTCTACTCTGGTTATTGAAAGAGTAATTGGAAGTAAACTTATTACAAGTGCAAAAAGCTTCCAAAAACTAAGGAGAAACCTTACGACTTAAAAAAACATGATTGATCCTAAATTATTATGATTCGTCATAAAAATTACAACTTTTAAAGTTAAAATTACTACTTTTGAGATCAAGCTATAACTAATTGCCAGTGAACCACCAGAAAAGACATCAAGTCCTTGAACCTACCATTACTCAACTATGTTTCTGGGAAATACTCTTCATTTTACCAGAAAGCCGGCCTCTTGCAACAGTTCCAGTCTCCTGCCCCAGCTTATGCGCAACTTACGTCAGATAGTTGTAACTTCATCTTTAAAAACTGACTTTCGGTATAATAACGAAATTTTTGTTAGTACCATATAATTACCCAAAACTAAGATGCCAAAAGTCAGAATACATAATACAATTTCTTTCAAGCAGATTACATTGCCAGGCAATACAAAAACAGATTCCATTTTCATAGCGTGTATAAAGAGTGAATCAACTTTCACAAATCGTAGATGGTATCACCAATGACAGTACATAACTACATATATGTGAATTTCATGTTCAAATCCAATATAATGCTAATACAGACCTTCAAATAAAATTCTAAAACCATGAATCTTGTAACTGCCTGCCTGCCTCTCTTCTTCCCTGCCTTCTTCCCCTCCCATAACTTTTGGACTAGAGATAACTGGCACGAGTTCAATCTCCCCTGGAGCCACTACTGCTGGCAGAAGATTTCTTGCCACTGTACTTCTGTTACAAAATAACAATACTACGTTACAATTCGAAGTAAACCCGTAAGAATTATTGCAACTTGAGTTGCTTAATTATATGACATCATCCAACAATGACACAAACAATGGATAATTTCATTTGTAGTTGGCAGTTGAAGAAGATGAGCAAGATATTTTAAATAAAAGCTCACCTGCTTTCCAATGTTGAATGGGAGATATTTGTATTTGATCATGTGTACAATTTGGCGCTTCATGGTAAGCGCAAACAAGACTATCCAATAACACAGTAATATAGGCCAAAAGACAGGAACATCAAACATCGAAAAGAAGGTCATGATAAATGATATACAAAAAGCCTTTGTGATGGCATACCTGAAACAGAAAAAGAAACCAAGAAAATCACTTCCACATATACACATAAGAAAGGACAGTAAACTAGTTGAGGTACTCTGGAAAGAGCTTTTTCCCGTCAAACCTTTTCTTTGTCCATTTATACTTCAAGTTCACAACATGAAATGGCCAAAGAATTAGTCCATTAGACATAATCATGCACAAACGAAGAGACTTTTACAGGAAGCTGCAAGCATGAGATCAGCTCACTGGCACAGCAACTGAAGAAAACAAGGCTTAAAAAATTGACAGACTAATTTGCCGATCAAATAACTATTATGGAGGCTGCATTATTGATGGTTCGTAAACAGTCTTCCACAGATTTCCAAGGTTTGACAGGAAACCAAGAAACACCTGAAAGTTCCCATATCTGACTGTTAACTTTTCCAAGGGACAAGGCTAAATTTCACATAATGTAGCACCTCAGCCACATCAATCGACATGTAATTTAACAAGTAAAGAAAAGCTCCAAAGTGATAAAAAAGAACTGAGGAACCAAAAAAAAAGCAACTACAGAACTTTTGGTGAACTTCAGAATCAGCAGAGTAAATAGAACAGTAGTGAGTGTAAGAAAGCATTTGAAGAGAACGAAGCACTGTTAACCCTAAAAGAATATTACGAGACAAACACAACCCCCCAACCCCACGGCAAAGAAAAATATAGGGAAAAAAAAAGAGAACTAAGATTTTTCATTTACTAAGTCAAGGTGCATTGCCTTGTCACCATTTGAATCTAGGAGGTGGGCCACTCTTAAGGAACCGGACATCAGTGGCTGGATCATAAAAATTCAGAGTGAAGTCCCACCTTCAGATATCGGCAAATACTGTTGGATAACAAATCAGCTCCTAACACTCATTGAACCCGAGGACAGAGGAAAAGGCATGTTGCAAGATTGGAAAATTAATCAAAGTTCTTATGCCAAGCAACATACTAGGGTTTAGGATTTGGGCATAGGATTCGAAGTGGGACTCAAAGGAATGATGCACATATCGAATTCCCATCAGACATATCTTGCATTGCATGTGTAACAAGACTGTTACCTAAACAAACCCATGCAACAACATTCTTCAAAATTAGCTCGCATAAACAAATGACTAGGAATAGTAATCCAACAGGCCTCCCAACTTAAAATATGCAGGTGCAAGTGAACCAAATGGTGAACAATAACCAAAATCAGGCAGATGAATAAACTACGATGAACGGTATCAAGTCAAGATCCTGAGCCTGCTTTAGAAACTCAGATAGCAGCAATAACTGTGCCTCAATCTTCAATATTACAAGCAAAAATATGGAAACTTCATTGAAAAAAAAGAGAAAGAAATCGGATAGCAGATATATGCCCCAATTCTGTACCAACTAACAATCACTAAAATTATTCATTCGTTAACGCACAGGTTCTTCATATAGTGAATGTTGCCCCAAGAGGAGTAACATTTTCTACAAGTAACATTTACAGTGCCCCAATATAATTACACCTTTCTCAAATTTCCTAAATCTCGAAAAAAATATTGCCAAATGTTGCAGTTTAGATTCTTCCAGAGCCACACAGTAATTCCAAATTTATTAAATTAACACAAAACAAAAAAATTAGAGTAAGAAAACCAATAGAGCAATGAAGTAGAGGCCAATCGGTTACCCTATAGCAGATTGAAATTGTATAGATTAACCTAGCAAACAATATTGCTATCCAGCCTAATAAGAGAAACACAGGAAACAGAAAAAGGTAATAAACAATTACCAGAACTTGAACTCAGGGAGACGGCGAATGAAAGGCTTGAATTCATCTGAACCTTTGGTGGGTAACATAGGCCCATCAGAAGGTTCCAGCTCCGGGTCAACAAGGGGCGACAAGAATCCAATCAACAAGTTCAGTATGTAGATGCCCAGACCATAGGTAACAATGTAGAACCCTTGAATATAAAAAACCCGCAGTGCATAGATAGATGCCAATACAAAGGTTCCAATCCATCTGTAAACCGCATGTGGAGTAGTCTTATCTAGATAAAACTGGAAAAGCCTTGACATTTTGTGCATCCATTGGTTCACTGATTCCGTAGCTGTGCCACCAGTAGCCCCACCTCCAATACCCTCCATGAAAATTTTAGCTTCACAATCCTACAGACCCTAAGCAAAAGTCCAATCAACTCAAGCCCACATTCTTCCATTATAAACACACACACTAACACTATCTACACAAGATACACATAATTAATCATGCCCTTGTTGGTTACCAAGGAAATGGAAGTGAAATGAACAAAGTGAAGGGAATCTCCGATTTAGGCACCGAAAAGAGTAAACCCAAATCCAACTATTGGGCATACGTGAGACATCTTCAGTTTTTCTAAAACTGAAGCAATTAAACGCAGAAAACCCAGAATTGGTTTTCTTCCAATCTCTCCAACTCAATATCTCAGTTAACAACCAGACGGCTACAATTTAACTAGGATATGAAAAAATAGAGATCAAATTGAAACTAAATTAAAACCATATAAACCCTAATACTCAAAATGCAAACACTTCAGAAGCAGATCTATAATGGGCAGATCTCAAATCACAAGCCCTAGCTTTCAATAATTAACCATTTTCACATGCTCATAGAACTCTCATATATAGAGGATTACATTATCAAATGAATCAATCACTCAAACAGCTGTGAGATTAAGTTTGAATGATTGAAAAGTGCATAGCAATGGAGATTTACCTTGGATGACTGCAGAAGAGTAGAGAGAGAATGTTTGGCCGTAGGAGGAGGAAAAACGGGTTTTGTAAAGGTGAGAGAGGTTTTACGGACAATGAGTCTATGCGGTTGAACAGTAGCTGAATAAAAAAGTCACCTCAGTCCAAATGACACCTTGCAGGCAAGAGAATATGCTTAATCCTCTGTACAATTTCGTCATTTCTTAGTTTAGAATGTGAGAATTATTTATAGTATGCGTGGACCATTTTAAATAAATTCATTAAATTGCTTTGAATATTTTTTTCAAGATTATTCGCATTGCACGGGTTATCCCAGGTATAAATATAAAACAGTTAGTTGAATTAAAAGTGAGCTCCATCTAATATTAAAACTCAAAACTAATTTAACTGTTGCGTTCAATTAGATCACTGATTATATCTCCTAATTAATAGGTTAAAAGGTTGGTATTGTATGATAAGAGCGTTTATGAATTTAACATTAGGGTAGCATAACAAGATATGAATGAATTGTAAATATAGACATGTTAAGTTCAAAACTTAACAATTTCTTTAGGATTAGGTTTTGAAAAATTTATCTCTCGTGAATTCTATAGTCTCAACATGAATGATTTGTATTTGATCAGATTACAAAAAAGATTAATTGAAATGTATGTAAACTTACTCAAATACTTTTAATCGTAATACCAACAAAGTATTATATAAATTATAATTGTATCGAGATTAAGTCAATTTTTAGTTTATATAGAGAGAAAAAAATGATCATAGTATGGAGTTTTTTGATTTAGATATCATAAAATATCCATCAAAAAAATGATAAGATTAACAAACATATTATATTACTAGTCATTACGTGTGCCTAAAGATACTGTATAACAAACAAATAAATCTTACACAATTGTCCAAATTCAAAAAGAATGGCCTAAAAATATTCATACTAATTTTTTTTTAAAATAACTCGAAATATATCACCGATCATATCCTCCATATTAATAGAACTGTCGTAAAAATATATAAAACTCTTCAAAATAACCTCATATATACAAATGTCTCCGAAAAAAAAAAACAAATACTAACATAATCCATTGAAATTTATAATTTTTAAGTGATAAATAAAATTTTATTCATTTATAAGACTCATGAATTTATCACATTTACCACCACTAAATCCAATAACAGAATATAATTATAAACTCAATCACCATATTTTCAATCCACCCTATCCCCGTGATAGGTTACAAGCACTAAAGGTAAAAGTACCACCTCTAAATGTGAGGTGAGCTTACAATCTTTTGAGGTGGATTTACAACCTCTTAAGGTAATATTATTATATTCAGAAACAAAATTATCACCATTATAGATAAAACTATGATCTTTAAAAAAAAAGTACAAATTTTATAGACAAAATTATCGCCTTTAGTGAATAATATTTAATGACAAAAAATTCACAATCACACATTTTTTTGCGGCATAGTACTGCTATTTGACTAGGCGGTACCATAACCTCTCCCTTCATTCTTGATGGTTTTATTGAATAATGATAAAATTACGTGAACCAAATTATCTGAAATCGTTGAATTAGTGATGAGACTTATTGATTCGATAACTATAAATAATTTAATATACATTTTGATGCACACTAATATCATTGCTCAATTGATAAGCAAGATAGTGAGTGGTTTTTTCACATGTTTTATAATATAAACCATGAGATATTTTAATAAATTCATTTGACGGTCTCAAATAAACTCATCAAATTACTATTAATCTCTCTCAAAACTATTCACATTGCATCGTATCTGCAACAATGAATTGTCTCTAGTATGAATACAAAACAATTAGTGAGATTAAGAGTAAGCGTCATCTAACATAACTAATTTAAATGTTGTGTTCAATTAAATCACTGATTATGTCTCTTATTTAGATCCCTATAGTATTGCTCATACAAACATAGAAGGTTAATAGGTTGGTATTGTATAATAAGAGAGTTTATGTTTTATAATATTTGATTAAGTGTTATATGAATTTAACCTGAGGGTAGCATAATGGAGATAGGGATAAATTATAAATACAGACATCGTAAGTTTAAAATTTAACTATTTTATTGAGATTAAGTTATGAGGAATTTATCTCTCATGAATGATCTGGCCTCGACGTGCATGGCTTATATTTGATCAGATTGAGGAAAATATTAATTAAGATGTATGTAAACTGACTCAAACGCTTTTGATCGTAATACCAACAAAGTATTATATAAATTATAGATGTATCAAGATTAAGTCAATTTTTAGTATATATAGAGATCAAAAAATGATCATAGTATGGAATTTTTTGATTTACAGGTCATAAAATATCCATAAAAAAATATAAGATTAACAAATATATTATATTATTGTCAAGGGATGTAACACATCCTTGTAATATTATATATAGTTTGGTTTATACAAAGCATAACAATGATCCAGATCCTTTAGATCCGACTACTTATACTATAACTTAAATTTTGATAATTTAACCACAATAACTCAACCAATGTATATTAAAAAATATATTCTCTTTGCACGATGACACCCTAGTTTAGTTAAATGGCCGAATTAAGATTTAGTAATATTCAATATCAACCCAAAATAATATGACAATGTCAATTGTAGCCCAAGTTTTACTTTTATAGTCTATGTTATTTTATTAGAAAATGATAGTAATGACATCAAAATTTTGACACCAATTCTTAACAACCCAATTGTATAAATAGACTAAAGGGTTGAATGTTCATGGTCTTTTATTATACATTTTGTCTCCTGAAAATGTAACAAGGTTTTCATTCTCGAAAATATTATTGATAAGGAAAAAATTATATGTAATCATTGGATTAATATGAGACCTACTGATCTAATGATTATAAATAATTTAGTTGACATTTTGATGCACACTTATAACATTGCTCGATTGATAAACAAGATGGTGAGTGAATTTTCCACATGAAACAAACTGTGTAATGCATTTTAATACTATGGTAACTGGTCCAATTGGTCGAGGGGCCATCTCTCTTTTGTGCACCACATGATGTCATGCAATTTTATTCATTAAATGGGTAATAGGAGTCAATAAAATTCATAAATCTAAGAATTCGTGTTGAATTGGTAAAAAAAAATGATAAAAAATGTTGGGTAGTTCTATTGTACTGGGAAAAAAAATTAGAACCGTAACAAAAGTTATTATTTTTTAAGGTTTAAGTTACATTTTTTAAATATAAAATTACAACTATTTGAGGTAAATCCGTAATAAATCATAAAATATTATGATTGATTATGAATACCTTTTAATCAGTTATAACTTCACCTTTAAAAGGCGTAACTTAACCCTAAAAAATTATAATCTTATTTTTAAAAATTATAACTTTCAAAACCGATCATGATTTTTTAGTATTGTCATGACATTTTCACTTATATTTTTTTCTTCAAAAACGTATAAATTTCAGTACTCTCGTTACTTAATTGTTCCGAAAAAACAGTTAATAAAAAATGATGGATTTGAGGGAGAAAATTCAATGTAAATAGTTTTAAGAAGGATGCTAGTGGTCATTTGATGAATCTATTTAATACCGTCATAGAGTCACCATTACAAATAGTCATAATTTTTCATAAAATCATCATTGATATTTCTTGGATTAAAAAACACCATTTCAAATGATTGCACTTTTTCATAAAATTACCATTGATACCCTTTGGACTAAAAAGTACAATTACATATGGTTACACCACTTATGAAAAATCACTAATGAGTCTATAAAGATGTGATTTCTTGCACTCCCAAAACACATCATTGAACAATTAAAGAATTGTTCTCTCATTCTAATTTTCTCAATTATCCAAAATACTGAATTAAGTATTCAGTTTTTTTTCTTTCTCTCTCTACATATTGCTACATTATTATTTTTAGTTCGGTTCAAATATAAACACAAAATTGTGTTCGTTAGAGTCTTGGAGACTGAAGTACTGCATCTTCAAGAATGAAATATGTTTTATATTTGGAGACAATTGCTTATCAACTTTAAGCACCGAGAGGAAACAAATATGTTTTAAAAAATTGTAATTACACAGGACTTAAATTATTGTTTTTATTATTGGATTTCTGAATTTTACTATTCGTGTTATTCTGCGTCAATGTAAGTGCATTGGTTTTGATTTCTATACTTTATGTTTGGATCAGTGCATAAGCTATATTTTATATAATTTAATATAATCTAATTACATACACATTTTCTATAACAAATCTATATTAACTTCACACTTTTTTAATTGCTCTCAAAAGTCACAAAGACTTTAATAATTTCTCATTCACTACTTAATAATTTTTTTTAAATAAATATACTATTATTTCTAACATAAGTGCCCACCAAAAACAATATTCTTGACTCTGTCCCTGGCTACCCTTCACATGCATAATGTCTTTTTGCCTTGGAAGGTTCGAATTCATAACCTTTCATTTAGAAGGTGTGAGCTTCTGGCAATATTACAAAAAGATGGACAACCAGATTTGAAATTAAAGTCCATCAATGGGGACAATTATTATTAGGCGAATCGATTGAACGCATAACCCTTCATTTAGAAGGTGTGAACTTTGATAACGTTCAGAGAATATTTAACACAACAATGATATTATGTCAATATTGATGACATTATTGCAAAAATGATTTTAAACAAGATTATTTGAGCAACTCACACTTTAATGAAATTAATATATTTCTAGTTGACTTTATGGATTAGGCACCAAGAGGTACCATACTTTTGTGAGCGGAACGAACGCTTATACTACCTTGGTTATCACACAAATGCACGCGCCCCGCCCGCCATGACCATGGTCAGGCCAGGCTTAGGCTTGGGACAAAATTCATTTGGTGCGATGCGAGTTGTGGGTCAATCAGAATGGTCTAGTATGTGGATTGATTTCTGCCTTCCAACATAATTTAAAGTCCAATCGGATTTTAAATTTTATTTTCGATAAATTTGAAATTGGCGCCGAATTGAAGAAACTTGTCAATTTATTCCAGAAATGTACCTTCTGTCTTTGTCGCTAATCGAATTAAAATAGTATGTCTCTTTAATCCAAATAGTGGCATTGACAACTCATGCATCTTTAGGCAATCTGAACAACTACCAATAGTCTATAAATAGACGGTC